GGAAATCGTCAGAGGATGTATGTTTTATGCTGTTGAATGCGATAACGGTCATCTAGCCATTGGTGTACGTACAATATCAGAGTTTTAATACTTATTCGTGGAGCCGTTACTGTAGACCATACTAAATAAAGAAACTGAAATTCCTCATACACGTTTAGCTCGTGCCATCAGATATAAAATTGAAAAAGTGCAGTGGTTGGGATATAAAATTCAACTGGAAATTTAGCATGTACATAAAAGCCTTATGGCAATGTGAAGCACAAAAAATGTTGAATCCCCATGTAATAATGCATTTACTCATTTATGACGGCTATTTCCACTTCTTTTAGTGCATTGCTGTGTGTGTTGGATAGCTTTGGGATGAATAGGTTTTTTGGTCTCCAGTTGGTTATTATATCGCCACAAGCCAATAATATTAAACGATTCTTTAACTGAATGAATGTGAGTGTACGACGGGAAAGTCCCCTCGACTCCGGCTGTATTTGAGACAAAAAATACTAAAAGATGCCGTAGAGAGAGAGACGATGTGGTGTGTGTGGTATAAGTGCATGTTGGGTCTGTGCATGAGTCAACGATGAAATGTGTCGATTTAGGACTTTTTTGAGGGATGAAAAGATTCAAATGTATGTCCCTGCGATAAAAAGGAAGGGAGGGCACACACGAGTCCAATGCACGTACATTCATGTACACATTGAGCCCAAAAAAGAGGGTAAAAACGTTAAAATGCAATGGCAGATACGATTGGAATTGAGGATGAAGGAAAAAAACTCTTACGTAATAAATTGAAGTACGCCTGCATTCATTTAAGTGGGATAAATGCTAATGGAAAAAGAGCTTGAATTCATTCATTCATTCTTTTTATCCAATTTTTAGGGGGGCTGTTTATCATTGTGGAGCGACGTGGTTGAAGCACGACGACGGCGACTAGGTTGGCACGAGAGTGACATGCTTCTATTTTAGGCATTTTTTTCAATGTTTTTCAGGTCCCGTTATGTCTGTCGACAAAAAGTCAAGTTGTCTTTATTTACTGTAAGTCTTAAGGGTTGGGTCAACATAAAAAACCCGTTGTATTGTGAAGAGAGCTTACTCATTACTCATGGAAATAGTCTCCATCATGTGTTTTTTAACGTAAAGCCATCACAGATATGTAAGTGGGATGGTTTTAGTAAATTGAGCAGCACGTAAGAAGGGGGCAACATTATAAATTGATATTTATATTATTACCAATCTTGAGAGTGAGAGATTTGAAAGGTTTAAATTTCATTTCATTGTCATTCTGCTCCAATATTAACAAGCTTTCTTAAAAGTCTTGATAAATGAATGCTAAAGCTTTACAATTCCGAAATCATCCTACATCAGATTTTTTGTATTTGTTGAGGAAAATAAGGACACACAGTTAAGGAAGTGGTCGGTGGGGTATTGACTTCTTTTTTAAGGGCCACCAGCCAGCCATAGTGACGCAACACTGCTGCGTTTATTGTTGCATTGGACAATGAACACGAGGTTTGTAATCTCTCAAATACAACTACCTACACATACATATTATGCACATTGCACACCCAGCAATATTTGAGGTCCATGCAATGTAGAAAATCGAAAAATGTCCACCTACTCACGAGAATCATGAGAAATCCTAATCCAGTATAATTCTGGAACTGTTTTTTAAACAGTTTTATTCCTTTCTTCACAAATAATACGCTCGTTCGTGCTGTCATCTTATTGTATTTTTTATATACATATCAAACATCAACTTGTTTACGGTTGTCTGCCCATCAATGTTTAGTTGACAAGCGTAGATTATCGTGGTCGGGGGTCTTTTAAAAAATGATTTACGTACACGTTGTTGTACGGTACAAAATGCATATAATTTTGACAGCATACTTTGAGTGTTCTACTGATATGTCAAAAAATTGGAAATAAATCTCATTTTAAACGAATGAGGAAATTCTTTATTGCTTAAGAGCAAGGAAAATTTTTACAATGTTAAATCAATGTTAGGAATTTCATCCATATTTCCATATTCAGGTTTATTTACATCCTCTAAGTAATCAAGATATGTAGATGTGAAGGACATTCGGAGATGATGGTCGTTGTGCAATGATACAATAAATGCACTGTCAACTTTGTTGGCGAGTCCTTGAAATGTGAAATTACTCAAAAATCAATTTATTTTACAAGCTTATGCTTATACTTCATTCAGTAATCTGGTGAAAGAATTATTAAGAAACTAGAGACTTGGTGCATACACTTGTAATCGTTTTTGCTTCATTTTGTGTACATAGCATAATGGGAATTACCCTAATTTTGTTTGTTTGCATAAACACATTTGCTTACAAAGTATAAAGCGGGAATGGAAAACAACTTATCAACTAAAGTACGCTACAATTTATACACGAGTTAATGAGCTTGGACATATTAAATACTTAATGATTAGAGTGGGTAAAGACAGTAGTAATTATGATGGTCATTGGTGTTTTGGTTTTGCAACATTTAGCCATATGCCACGCAACTAAATGCGTCCTACAATTTTCTCTAAAGCCATTCATGAATTGATGCAGGGGAGGCCACACTATCTGTAAATCAATTAAAAATTATATGTGCGACACCATGAACAATTGTTAATGAGGGCTGTTAACGTCGCTCAAACGCTCCACACACATATAACGAGATACCTATGTGTACATGTTCAATGTTAATGAAACAATGTACTCTCGGGTGATGACTTTTGTGTTACGTATTACGTTTTTGGAGGAGATGAGCTATTATCTAATTATGGTTTCATGGACACATGGAAAGACAGCTTAGCCAATTTTACAAAGTTTCTTCTTTAGCTTAAAACTTGAGAAACTATTCTAATACTTATATGCTCAAACGACTACGGAACATTTGACTTGGAAACCCAACCAGAGAAGCAGATATGCATATAATTGAATTTAAGACAAAAAGACATTTGGTGAAAGAAACAACGAGAGAAAATGCACAACCTCCACAACATGTACAAAAAATAAAAACAAAGCCACTGCCATGCAATGCCTGACCTTTCTTAATGTCCGAACGACTTCCCCCATCAAGCCCATGCCATACCGCGTCCTGCCCAAATATTGTTGAGAACGCGTGTGGTGGTACGTCAGGTGGAGTATCTTATATCTGGCAGATAACCTATAGTCGCAGCATTAAGGAGGTTTTTAAGCATAGACACGCGGATGTTCATGAGTGCGGAAAAGAATACGACATCGACTCGAGTCATGATGTGGTCATGCACTTTAAACCCTAGAAAAACAAACCTCCGTTTAAAAGTTTAAAAACTACGAGTACCACGAGTATGGCACAATCCCTCGGATTTGAGTCAAGATTCAAATTATTTTTAACCCGTGTTCAACTTTTCAGCTGCTAAACGCTGTCGATCAACAACGACGGAGCAGAGAGAAAGATCATTTCCCCCATTTAAGCTTGGTTTGTTACAACAAACCACAGTCAACTGACAAGAATATTGTGATGTGTATTTAGGATTTTTTATAACAAGGAAATTTTATTTAAGTTTACACTAGCCAGTGATAAGTAGTAAAAGAGACAAAATTACCAGTCTTCTTTACATACAATTATTTTTTTCCAGGCATGCAGTTTTTTTTAAATCTCAGATTTGTACTCAACTCCCATGTACTTACTTAAATATGTACTATATGTATGTATGTATATGAACCTTGGTATGAAAAAAATAGAGCTTCGTATAAAATACAAACATTAAGTAGTAATGGACAGCACGTGCACATTTATTGCGTAATCGCTTCATTATTCGTATTCATATTTTACTTTACAAATCGTGAACTTTACAATTAGCTTACGTTTCACACGCTGTTCTCGGATTTTTCAGTAAACGAACAATAAAACAACGGTTGGTGGCTTATTGTTACATCTTCCTTTCCAAAATGAATGGAATGGACATTGCCTTGGCATTTAATAATTCTTGTAAGTTATTTGCTGATTGATGGGTGATTACATGCATGTAAGCTTGTGGTCAGTTGGTTCATGATAACAATAATCGTTCCATGTCAGCCTGCCAATCTTTTGATTGAATTTCTGAGGTTTGAAATGAGAACGTGTAACAGTTGTCCAATGAGTCTGAATCTCTCCAGGAGGTTGATGGATTACGATTACGAAACCTTGTGATTTGTCCTCACTTACAGTATTCTGAAAATAATCATCTCATTCTTATTCTTTTGACCAGGGATTTAGTGTTACACATTACAAAAGTGGGACAAATTAATGCATTGATTGTTATACAGGATTGGTATGAATCCACATCAATTATGTATTACTTATTATAAATAGAAATTGCGGGTAACGGCGATATTAAGCAAAACATCATTCACATGATAAATGTGGGGTTTTGTCATTTGTGGTTGCACTATTTTTTAATCACGGAACACAATATTATTATTATTTATGTATGTATGGGTCTTGTGTAAGAAATAAGATTATGCTGTCTCAGAGTGCCTCCGGTATTATTCAGTTCTCTAAAACAACCACACGGTTGGGAACACTACGATCATGTCGCCCTGTGTATGATAAACTTTTTCTAAAATGTGCAGGGATGGTTTTTACTCATGGGTTTAACTTTGAACGTATTTCAAAGGGAAAAGGAACAAGTATTGAACTGTAAGTGGCAAGGAAGCTTCAAGGATGTCTGAGAATTATATTGTATGAAAAGATCAGGCTGAGATTTTGGATGCATTTTTGGACAATTTTTTTGAGAAAAATCCTGTAAGTAAAGGATTGAGGAATGAATTTGAACATTGCTTTTTGTGAACAATAGAACGGAAACCCTTAAAAAGACGACCTTCAGGGTAAGTTGTTTACCTGATTTTAGAGCAAGTTCTTGAAACCTTCCCAATATGCCCCAGTAAAACCCAAAAATGATACAATCCGTATACATTAAGCATTAAGTTATGCTCGTTAATTTAATAAGTGAGTCTTATACATATAGCAATACGCTTTAATTGTTTCGTTTTTTTAAGAATCTATGTTTATTGCCCTCGTGTATAATGATATTGATACACCGTCTACAGTAATTGACTTTGTGCTCTCAAATTCATTATTGTCAGATTTAGCACTTTTTAATTTTTTTGACTTTTCATGTTCTCGGACTCACATGCATACATTAATCATCATCCAGGCGGACATATCATAATTAGATAAACAATTTCTGATAGGAGCAGACAATTATATTATGATGTCACCATATGTACATATGTATTGTGCATGAAATTCTGTCACCACTTTACCAAGAGCGGAACAATAACAACCTTAATTGCTTAAAACGACATCACAAGTTTTGACTGTAGGTAAGAGTGCGCACACATACACATGCAATGACATCTCACCAAATAAAGAAAAAAACTTGTGGAAATTTACATGACGGAATGAACTCGATGTTATTCTTATGGCAGATTCGTGAAATTTAAATGTTTTAGGTATTTAGGAAAATTACTAATTATATACATATGATCGAATCTACCATTAGGTGTGGGCTGGGAGGTATACAAGGTTGGCTACCACGCTTATTGATTTGTTCTTTAATTAGTCAGTTCCTAAATTTATATTACACGCTAGGATTATCAGTGTTCCATTGCTTCAAAAATGCTGAAACATCCTCATGTCCAAATCGTTCAGCATCGTCCAATGGTAAATGTCCCCATCTGCATTACAAGAATTTAAGATTCTTAAGAACTTTCCAATCACTACATTTGTATCATATGTAGTTACCTGTCTAAGGGTTTGTGGCTCACATGACAGTGCCGAAGAAGATATTCCACGCACTCCAAATGACCTTCTGCTGCGGCCAAATGCAACGCTGTTCGCCCATCATAATCACCAGCCGACATGTCCATTCCAGACAAATGGTGTCTTCTCATGGATGTCACATCGCCGGATGCCGCAGAGAACAAGAGATTCACGATATTCAACCCCTTTGTTTCGTACCTATGGCGTCTGGGGTCTAGTTTATGTGATGCATGCCTCAAGTTGTCATACTTATGGAAGTTGAAAATTTCAACTAGTTCCTAAATAATAAGTAGTTATAAAATAAACAAAATCCTCGAAACCAAATTGGTCTTTAGATGTATTAACATACCTGGCAAAAGGCAACACCTCGGAAAGTATTGCCAAGGACGTCCAGTGGAGGACTCCAGATACACATTCCCAACACGTTTGGTACCACCAAAATAATGCATCTTTAAATCAAAGCCAGTGGCACATTAATGTTTTGTGCAGAATAATAGCAAGTGATACATATTTGAAAGTAGAGAAAGAAGCTATCAACAAGTTCAAGACTTTGTTACTCACTCACCCACTAACACCCGATTTTGCAGGTAGCCCGACCTTAAATGCAAATTGTCCAGAGTAGTCGTACATTCCACAACTGAGAGAACACACCCAATGTAAATATAGTATATCAGGCATTAATATAATAACGTTATTTCCCAAATGCGTACCTGTGCATGAGGGATAGAACATCTCTAACAGAATCTGATTTCAGCACCTTTTCCCCACTTTCGTAATGAAATAACAAATTATTATCTTAGTAAATTAAAATTTCCTTCGGCAAATCTACTTACCTAATAGGGCATATTCCACCTAAAAATTAGATAATAATTGTAAACAATTATTTATTTAATTACATTGTTATCTATATTTACCATTGGCTAATGTCGCAGCCATCACAGCCGTGGTTTCGCAATTTGTTTCCATACTACAACACTGAAACAATATAATACCTATATAATACCTAAGTTTACGGTTTATATTATAGCTAGCCATGTAAGTACCTGAAAATAATAATCGAGACATTCCTTCAAGTTTGTTCCTTCAGGGAAACATTTGTGTTCACGCATATAAAAGCCAAGAGCATAGTTTCTAATGATAAAAAATAGAGAGTTAAATGCAAACAAGTTATAAAGTTTATAAAGTTTCATGTCCAGTACCTATCGGCACACTCCCTTTCAGACAAAAATCTGAAATTAAGAAAATGAGAAATTAACCGTACGATAGAGCCAACAGATTGGTAACATATGGGAATCCCAATGTTCAGCGAAGGGCGACATTTTTGCATTCACGCCATTTTGACCAAAACTGTTGTACCGAATTTGTCATCGAATTTGGCGAACCTGAAGAATTCCTTTCGAATAGGAAAATCGTATTCGAACCCTGAAAAGCCTGCACCCCAGCGAAATTACTCCAGAACAATAATTTCCTATAAAGTTGTACAAATTCTACGCCGATTTTTTTTTAATTTTCTAAAATGCTGGAAAAAATTTAAATAATGCTCAAATAGGGCGAAGCTCCACGCTGAATTTTTTAAATGTTTTAAGTGATAAAGAGCCAATTTATTCCAAATTTATATTGAACACAAATCAAAATTATTCATAAAAATAACCAAACTAATTCATGTCAACATCATTAGTAGGTGGAAATGGAATCCTGACGCTTGGGTTCCATCCTGTAAATGCTGGTTTGGAAGCAGAAGAATCAATAAGAGTAGCAGTGGACTTGGTACAAGAAGCAAGAGCTTCCGCTGCTGCAGAAGCAATGACGGCAGCTGCTTCGGCGTGTTTCTGAAGAACAGCTAGTTTTTTGGCTAAGGCTTCTTCTTCAGTACACGGACATGAACTATAAGTCAAATGAAGTTTAAATTGGTAATTTGAGAAGGCGAATGTCATGAAAAGTAAAATTGAATACTCACTTTGCGAGATGTCCGCGTTCCTTGCATTTTGCACATTTCCGCTTATCTATTATCGGAATAAAAAATTTGACACTAATTTTTCATTGAATTTATAATAAAAGAAATATGCACCTTTCTTTGTTACGCCATGGCCACCTACGCCACCACGTCCACGGCCACCTACGCCACCACGTCCACGGCCACCTACGCCACCACGTCCACGGCCACATACACCACCACGGCCGCGGCCACGAGCTACACCTTGACCGCTGCCCCCGCGATTACCACGAAACCCTCCTATATCCCCAAGGATTGCACGACGCAGGCCGTCAGGGTGTCCCTTGTAAGACAATTCCATGTATTCCATCTAAAAATTCAACGATAAAGATGACAAGGTTGCTAACCTATCTTTATTCATTGAGGCAATTCACGTCACTTACGAACGTTGCTTCGTAACTTGAATTTCGTAACTTACGAAACATTTGACGTGAATTGAGTTCGTAAAAATATTTGTAACGTTATTTGTAATTATTAGCGAAAGAAGCAAGACAATTTGATCACCATGGAGCCGGGTTCTTTTTGACACCTTCATTTGTGACACGAAAAGAGCCTGGTGCTATGGCGATTGAAAATTTCTTGCTTACGAAGGTCAGCTTACGAACGAAAAACATGCCTTTTATCTTCGTAGACTTTCGTAAGTTCGTAAGCAAAAATTCCCTTAGAAATGTTCGTAAGGTTCGTAAGTTTACGTGGTTACGAAGCTTACGAGGAGTGACGTGAATTGCCTCAATATATTTTTCGTATAGGAATTTACCTTTGAGGATCAACCACTAAAATTGCGAAAAAACGAAGAAAACCGAGGACGGCGTTCTGCAAAATAATTAATCGACTTTATTCAATAATACATAAATAAGGAAACACATTGATAAAATAAAAAAAAATAATTAATTAATTTTAACTTTGCTAACCTAGTTTTAATGTGTTTTAATTGGTCGAATGTAATTAACATACTTACCACAGGTAACAGGATAAAACCAATTAACTTTGGCGATAATGGGACGAATGTTCTGCGATACTGTTTATGTGAACAATACACGAAAAAAGTTATTATTAATGGCTTTCCAATTGATAGATTGATAATTAAATAGAGATTACCGAATTTATCTTCAGAGAGCGAAAAAACATCTACCCTGTACACTCGTTCAGAAGTGAGTGAGCTGGCAGCGAAACGTTTATTGGAAATCCGCCACCATCACTACTCTCTCACTAACTCTATTACTTTTAGATGTACAGGGTTGATGTTTTTTCGCTCTCTAAAGATATATTCGGTAATAGACAATCTATCAATTGACAAGACCTTCATAATGATCATTATGAAGGTCTTGTCAATCAATCAATTATTATTTTTCGTGTATTGTTGCAGTATCGCAAAACATTCGCCAAAGATTCTTCCCATCATCGCCAAAGTTTATTGGTTTTGCCATCTGATGTAAGTCAAATTCACATACATTCGGCAAGTAAAAGTATTAAAGCTAGGTTAGCAAAGTTATAGCTAATTAATTTTACAGCAAGCCCGTTTTTCGACAAGTGCGCCCGCGTCGTCGTCAGTTTTCTTCGTTTTTTCGAATTGTTTTCCGACGTTTATCGAAGGTAAACGATAGATTTCCTTCAATCGTACATTTTACTGAATTATTAGTTGAGTACAATTAAAATGAAGCTAGGTTAGCAAGATTAATTAATCCAACCATCTGATTTTAATTTTTGATTTGCAGATCAACGAGTGCATCCGCGATGTCGTCGCTTTTCTTCGTTTTTTCGCATTTTTGGTTGTGTTAAATGTTTATCGAAGGTAATAATACATTTCACAGAATTAATTGCTTAATTTTTGGACACATCACACTACACTGGGATTGGAGGTTGTTTGTAAAATTGAATGTGGCGAGAATTTTATGTTTTGGCCCCAATGTGAAGTGGGGGCACTCCATTTGTGATTGTAAATGGCAATATTTTAGCAATCTGCTTACATAATGTCACCCAATAGTAATTTTTATCTACTATACAAAACTTAAAACGACAAATTTTAGAAATCGATATGGGTAATCCTCTTGGATGATGATGAAAAAAATGATGAAATCATTTTTCATTTCATCATCCAAATGATGAAATTTAATTCTAATTTGACTTCCCAGAAGTACTTACAAACCCTCATACATAATTTCAGCTCGATCTAAGAATAATAAAAAATCGATCCCGAGAATGTTTCCAATGTGACTTCAATCACACAATCTTCTATTAGAAGCAATTTAGCGCCAGATTTAAACATTTTACAGCAAATTTCATCGAAATAAATTCATCGAATATCCTGCACCAAAGATGAAAACCAAAGGGTTTCCCTTTGGGGTAAAGAAACACACCGGTTAACCACTGCACCGATTTAGTCCATCTTCCTTGATCTTAACTTTCACCCTATATAGTTTTGGTAAAAATTTCAACCCGATCGGATAAGTTTTATGAGAGTTATCGAGTGTCAGGAAGACTGACGGTTACATATGCCATGACTCGTGCTAAACATAAAGCTAGGTTAGCAGAAATGAATAATAATCTATCCATCTGATATTTTTTATGGAATTGCAGAAATCCTGTTTTCAACGGATACGTCCGCGTCATCGTCGATTTCGTTGCTGTGTTGTTTAGTGTGGATTTAAATAATTATTTGATTTATTGTTACTCTTTAATAAAGTCGCTTTGTGCGGTTTGAAACCTAACTGCTTTGTGCGGTTTGAAACCTAACTGCTTTGTTCGGTTTAAAACCTAACTGCTTTGTGCGGTAAAGTGTGGGACTTTGTGACCTCAAAATGTTAAAAAAAATGAAAATGTCAAATGTTGACAATACTAATTCATTGAATTACAATTTTTGGAATTGTGATGGTTTGAATAAAGTTAAAGTTGAATCTATGCTACCTTTCTGGATTAGTAGTGATCTTGTTTTCATTCAGGAAACCAAACTAGATCCTTCTAAAGAATCGTTGTTTGTGGAATTAATTGGAAAACGAGGTTTTAATTGTGAATTCAATGCCTCCACACCATCTCCCACAAATACAACATGGTGGAACTATGGTACATGCATGTTCTACAAAAATGTGGAGGTTGAGCATATTGACATAGCAAAAACTTTTCCCGATATTATCTCACCGACCAATTCTGAGAGATTAATGATGGTTAAAGTTAAAAGTAGTTTAATTAACGAAGAAATTATTTTTCTCAACCTTTATTTTCCATGCAATTCAACGAAACTTGGACGCCAAGCTGAACGACAAAATTGGGCGTCATTGATGCTTTGTCGGCAAAACTTGCTGACAAGTTCGTCATTTGGCTGGGTGATTTTAATATGCAGAAACTGACATCGGGTAAACCTGATGGACGGTCTTTAATGTATGACCAATTGGAGCACACATTTAAAAAGCATGGATTTATGAATGTAATGCAGAAGCTGTGGCCTGAAAATATTTATACACGGCATGCTTATTCTCGTTACATTGACGGAATAACAACATCCAGACTAGACTATGTTTTCATTTCCAAGACAATGCAACAGTTTAATCAGACTGCTGAACCTCTGTATACTGCAAATATGGCACTCAGCGATCATATTAATATCAAATGTTCAAACCGAATTGCAACAACTGCTTATCCAGCAGTCACAGATTCACCAAAAATGGTATGCAGTCCACCAACTACTACAGGTCGCAATAACGAATGTCCATATTGTAACAAAATTTGCCAATGTGCAAACGCCTTAATTGTTCACATTCGATCCCACACAGGTGAGAAACCTTTCTCTTGCTCCAAGCTGTGTGGTGCTAGATTCTCTTCTGATCATAATGCTAACACGCACGAAGAAGGCTGTAGTGGACCAATTATTCTAAAAACATGCCCGCATTGTGTGTTCCACACGTACAATCAGAAGATATATGATATTCATGTTCCTTTTTGTAAAAACAAAAAAACGATCGGTGGATTTCGATGCGTAGCATGCAACTTCACGACAAATAAACGTGGTGAATATAACAAGCACTTGGAAACTAGAGGCCATAATACCATTCACAATTTGAAAGGCTATGCGTGCTTACCATGCAATTTAGAATTTTTCAACATTAACACTTATAATGACCACGTCGCAACGCCCAGGCACGCAGATCGTTGCAGCGATTCGTACGGCCAATGGAATCTAATGTTCTAATCATATCCTAATACTAATAAAGACTTACGTTGAGTTGTTGAACCCTACGTACTCTCCACCGCCCATTCTCTGCACAAACAAATTTAAACCAAACAATTAGAACAATTTATTTATCGACTGATGGGATATTTTCATATTACTTTGAAATATTGCAGTGTATAATCGAATTTCTCGGCCAATGTCAGCTCTGGTCGGACCATTGTTTTTAGTAAGGAGCAGACAATAATCGCTCCAGCATTGACCATAGGATTATGTGGCTTTTCTGCAAGTCAGTTGCCAATTGTAGATTTTAGTTTAACTTCAATTATCGGTAATTAAATTTGCATTAAATTTATTTAAGATCTTACTATTGTAGTCCAAGACTAACTCATTAAACATTCTCCCTGATGGTTCTGTTGAAAGAATTTAAACATATTACGGCGTGGTTTAAAAAAACCATTTGTGTTTGGCCTGGCTGGCTGATTCCAAAATATTTTAAGTCACCTTGGCCAACATATTGGTGGACCGTCTCAGATCCAAGCTCATTGAGAGCAATGGCATACCTGCATTCAATTATCAATTACCAATTTAATAAAATTACTCCACTACAAATTACTAACGTCAGAGGTTTAGAACAAGACTGAAGAGTGAACGGGATAGTAGTTTGTCCGATGGAATGGCGTTGCCCATCAATGCTGCAAATGGAAACGGCCCTAAAAATAAATGAATACAACTATTGAACACCTGCATTAAAAATTAGTGGTAACTCCACCTACTCCACTAAAAGATTTTATATAATTAACAGTAGCAGCAATTTGCAATGCACATAATCATTTGTACAGCGTTTTTTGAGGAAATGTGGAAATTTTATTACATTCGCTATCAACCCCGTAAGATATTTCAACGGTTAAAAAAAGTTTTTAACCAATTTTGGAATGTCAGCACTGAAGAATAAAAATCCTCCAAAATCTGCCATGGTCAAGTTATATAAATTAGTATGAGCACTTACCAATAGCTTGGATATAATTATATCCAAACGATTGATTACTTAAGTAATCAATGATTACTTCATAAAGCATCAAATATCTTACCAGTAATTCTTATCCATACGAGCCAGTTGGGGAATATACTATTAAAAAACCATTAGTTAGTTAATATTTTTACAATTATGCGGTACAAAACTAGATTAGAAAATTGTATGATTCTATATAACTTACCTGTGCAACTTTTCCGCCAGTCACTGATTTCATCTTGATGAACATTTCTTCAATTGTTTTACAAAACTGCTGAAACTCTGGTATTATGAACTGTTGTCTAAATTTGTAAAATGAATCATTTGTGAAGAGTAATCCAAAATTATAACCCGAAAAAAAGTGCATAATATAATAGAAAAATTGCATACCTAAATGCACGAGATATAAGGACAATATTGTCAGTGATAACAGTTTTGAAGGTCTCCCGATCCAAGGTTAACGTTTCAATTGATCCAATGTTCTTTTTAGGAAATGCTTTCTCCTGCTCAGCGTGAACTCGCTTCAAATTTTCAAACAACTCTAAAAGTCGTGGGTCGGATCTCCGCAAACCAGTTTTCTCTAAGGCCTTCAAGAAACTCCAAAATTTAGACTCCATACGCTGCATTTTTAGCCCGAGTCAGGGCTTATGGAACCGTCATGTCCGTCCGTCCGTCTGTCCGGCACGATAGAGCCAAAACGGCTGAACCGACTGACTTGAAATTTTTACCATATGCATATTGGGCAAAGTTAGGAAACGAGTTCGAAGATGGGCGAAATCGGTCTAGTGGTTGACCGGTGGGGGTCATCGGAGTGGGTGGGGTATTATGCACCAAAATTTCAAAATTGGCGTAGAGAGCTGAAATTTGGTACACAGGTTGCTAATGGTTCCTAATAGATAAACATGACTTCAAGTTGGAAAAATTTTCAATTTGAGGGACCCTGTGGGGTGACCCATACTGATTTTTCAAAATCGTCATATCGACCTGAAATTTGATAGGGAGGTTGCTAATAGGTCTTATTTGAAGAATATGAGATGAAATTGGTAAAATTCTTATCTGGAGCTACCCTATGGGGTGACCCATACCGATTTTTAGAATTAGCTGGAAAAACATGAAATTCGGCACGGTGGTACGTAATGGCTTCTCATGAAATAATAAGAAGTTAAAACTGAGCAAAGTGTAACCAGAGAGTGACCCTGGAGCTGGTCCATACCGTTTTTAATAGAAAATAATAGTAGAAAATCTAACAAACATTTAACTATATACAAAACCCAGTTTGGTAATATTGTGTCGGTCAATTCGGAGAATAATTTAGAAATCTGATTCACGGAGTCAGGGACTCTGTCCCTGACTCGGGCTATATGGAGTCTGCGCTGTAGGTTTTTATTAACATAACTGAACTTACGGCAAGTAAATTTCCAACCAAAACAACATCTGCGTCCTTATCTTGAAATTAAACACATGCAGTTTGTTGAGGGGAAACCGGTGATTCATTATTAAAAGTATGTCTTTGAATAAATAATACCTTGAAACATGTCAAATATGAGGTCGTCCACATTTCGATGAGGCTGTTCTCTGAAATACAAAGAACAACAAATTGGCAAGTTATATATACTCGTACACATCTACATCTATAACACAGCATGTAATCTCGTTCGCAGATGTTCGTATAATCTAAAAATGATTTGTAGTTGTGGTTCAAGGTAGGCAACCAAATATGTAATCATCTCTACTGTTGCTGGAAGCACTTACGGTTCGGGAGTCTTAATAGTGGAATTTCTAAGTGAAAGCGAGGGTGCCATCGAATCTTTTCTTGGATATCTGTTTACTTCACAACTTGATTCATCACAATCTGAATCGTCTGGCACTGTCGCAGCGTCAGCTTCTGTAAACCAAGTTTGCCTTTTTGCACCAGCTTGTTCTGACGACAATGATTTACGCGAAAGGTCGGCTTCGTTCCCACGGTCGTCGTATCTTCCAGCATCATCGTTTGTAGACACATCGTCCTGTGTCATATAGTCCACCCACACAATGCTTGCGCTTCGTGCGCGCTGCTTCTTTTTATCTTTTTGTGCTTCTAGTTTTTGAGCTTCTACGAATTTCTTGGTACGCTTTGGAGTTTCTGGTGGTGATTGTGATTTTGAATCTGAAATAGTAACCTTAGGATTCTGCAGGTTCTGAGATTTCTTTAAAACTGATACATGCGGTTGATTGGTCTTGCTGACGTAGCGCGGCCCACTCCTCTCAATTTTACCGTTCATCTCCAACTTTATGTCCATTTCGGACTCTGCCGAATCTTCAAAATCTTCCAACCCTTCTCCAACTTCGTTCTCATGAATCTTTTCACTTCCACTTCCCTCGGATTTTGTGTCTGTTTCTAATGAGTTTGATCTCGTTTTGTTTCGTTTTGAAAATCGTTTTTCATACGCGTGATGGATTGTGTTTAGAGCTCCAGATAAGCTTTTGAACCGTCTAATTGGTTTGTGCTGATTCTCAGCGACTCCTTGCACTGGGCGTGTTCCTTTGAAGAACGGCATTACTCTTATTTTCTTCAAATTAGCGACGTTGCTCAAATTGCCAGCGGAAGGCTATGAATAATGGAACACTTGAAGAAGGCGTTTGTGCTAATTTTTACACTTGTAGAAACAAGAGCATCTCAACTAGTGTGGCATATTATGTACACTTGACATACACCGAAAAACCAAAAACTTTTAGCGTCTCAAGTAATAAAGTTTTGCATGCAGGCAGCTCACTTTTGCCAATAATGTAAAATTTTGCACAAGTTTCATTCAAAAACGTCAAAATGTATGTACAACAAGAAGTGTCAGAGAAGAATGTAAGAGAGATGTTGCACTTCCTACCTTGAACCTTCGACTAATGGTTGGCTGGCAGCAAGTTGGAACTCCTTAGCTTGCTTGGACTCTTGTTTCGTTTTAGACGACCAGTTTCGAGCGATGGTTAATTGTTTCCCCTTGAAATTAACCAACAATTAATCAAAATTACATTCAAAGTAGTAGAAAAAATTAGCATGACTTTCTACGCGTCAGTCACATGCGCTTTATGATATGATAAAAGCTGGACCTTGTGATATCCGATTGGTTGGTTAAATGGGTGGTGGCTGCGGTAATAAGTAATAAATACCAGCCACCACATTATTATAATTGGGATAATTTAGGTCTGCCGTTATGCACACATACGGCACAAATCAAGTCATTGTGCGTTTCTCAGAATCGATTAGGTCGCTCGTAGACTCGTGACTTTTGAACTGTATGCATATTACATAATTCATACTTATTCGGACAGGTCTAAGAGAAATTAAGATTATTTTCGCTACATCTAACCGTCATCGAATCTCATTGACACAGGATCTTCGAATGCATACAAACAGCATAATTGTTTAGACAGCCTGTTTCTTATATTATTGTATTAAGCAGGAAACCACAAGCCATAATTCCATATCTATATTTACTATATGGTGTGTATTTAGCAGTAGCATTTATATATACACTCGAAATATTATACAATTTTAACCGGCTAGTTGAGACAGATAAATTGCAATACGACCACGATTGAAAATGAAATTCAATGAGTAGTGGTATATGTTAATTGATAGATGAAAGCAATAGACGAAAAATTATAGGCCAGAAGGAAGAGAAAGCAAATTACACGATGCTGTGAAGAGGAGAGGACATTAGATTGAGTGGAAGCGGCGAGGAAGCTTATCAGTCGTTGATCGGCAGAGCCACCCCCCAAATAGCTTAGACCCCCACTAGCCCCACCACAAGCTTGAATTGCTCGAAAATGTCGAATCCCTTGACCAAACATGACGCGCTAGTATGTAGTGGTGATCTTACGCTTCAAATGCAAGATAGAAATAGAACGCTAGCTTCAACAGGTGACGAAAGGTCTTGAAGTATGTCCAATACAACAATTTGTCCTCAATTATCTTGAAATTTATACCGGCTAAAAATCAATTAAGAGGTAATTAATTATTTTAATTACTAAATTACAAATTCAAGCAAGTTGATAAGTGATAATATTATATGTACCTTATTTGAGAATTTATGCATAAGATTAGTACATTTGTAGAGTAAACGTGAATGATTCCCAGTTTTCCACTAAATTTGGGGAAAGTTGACCGAGAGTTGCTGACTAGAAATGTTTCCGAAATGACTAGATATGAGCAAAACAAGTTAAGAGTCTCACGTAGTTTAGAGAAATATGATCAAGATAATAATTTGGGGTGGGAAACGATGTTTTGTATGTTGTATTCGTGGATTCCTAAAAAAAGTAGAGAAAGTGGTGTTGTGTTTTTGGGCTGTGGATTCGTATGTGGGATGCGCGGCAGGAAGTGGAGAAACTCAGCTCGATGGCTCACTTACACCTTTCGAGCTTTCATCCCCCAAAAACCATCGCTACCGCTGCCTCGTGTCTAAAAATGGGAAATAATCAATTCTCGAATATTTAATATTTGCACTACTCGTCTAACTGCATAAAAATTCATATACTCATATTTACATATCGATATGTAGACATAATGTCTACATTTGTAACGCAGTTATGCTGTGAAATCAGAAATGTATGATTTCTTTCTGGTATGTTATCATGACTAATAATTATTAGTTGAGTGGCATCTCCTCAACGTGTGTTTGATTTTTCTCCTCCACGATACCTCTCTTTATGTGGGCCATTCAATTCGAGCCCATTGTTCGTCACAGAACATTCGTTCGGAAAGAGAAAGTTGGTCATCTAATGACACTTTTTTTAGCACTCTGAGTAATTGAGAATCCCCATTCGAGGAGAAGAGGACACCACAGAGCCACTCACATAGGTCTCTCTCTGTTTTCTCTATTTAAGGTTGGGACAATAAAAGAGTTAATTTCCTCTACTTCCTGAAGCTAGTGAATGAGAGGAAGATGGAATCCGTGGACATGATCGCATAACAGTAATGAACTTCTCTCTTACTCACGCTTCATCCATTATTGTTTCATCCTTTTCTCACAAAAGGACACCATCCTCTCCAAACGACGACGACGATACCAAGGTTTCGAGAGGACTCTTTCGAATGTAAAATGTAACAAAAAATATCGCGAAGAGGACGAGAACAATTGCCAGTTCAACAATAACCTATAGTACACCAAATGTCCATTTTTGTGGTTGAATGGAGCAATAAGGAAGTTTGCTTTCCTTTCGCAAGGAGGAGAAATATTTGTCTGGAGAAAGTTGAAACAACTCCATAAGCAAATAAATACGAGAAGAAGATGGGTTTCCAAATCTGAGACGTAAAATCCAGCAATAAATATAGAAATCAATCGTGTGTGATTATTGCGGTGATATAATTTATATATTGAGATTCTCATTACGCTTACTCGTTCTGGGGTTGGATTATAAAAACATATAAGGAAGCTATAAACTTACATTTGTTGATAATTCGTGGTCATACTTTAGAGTAAAGATTATTGGTTAAAATATTTTAATTTTAAATTATTTCGACGTTTACTCTTCTTCCTCGTCGTCAGCTTCGTCTACTTCATTTTGAGCCTCTTCGTCAGCCGGACTTTCCTCTCCTTCCTCCTCCTCCTCCTCCTCTGGTGGCTCCGGTGGTGCAAGTTGAGATTCGCTGGGGGTGGTTGACTGGGGCGGAAGGGGAGCAGCTGCCGTTTGTGATGGGGTTGCCTCAGGTGCTGCTGGAGGTGCTTCCGGTTCTGCAGATGAAATTACGATCATTGTCTTTATGATTGTCAGTCAACGAATTTATTTTGTACCCTGATAACTCACTTCCTTCGTCTGCACCTTGCTCATCTTCGTGAAAATCTAGTGCTGCCAGATCTGCAGCAGTAATATTCACGGCTCCACCCTCTTGATGCTCATCTCCGTCCTCTGACTTTTTCTTCTTCGCAACCTTCTTGTCTGGGAAAGCGTCAATTCCTTTCGTTCTGATTTCCTGTAAAACCAAATTTTTACATCATACACACGTATGCCTGTCACTAAACGCCAAACCTTCCTCGTTCGTCTCATATAAAACATGTTCAGCTAACCTCATCAATTGAGATAAAGAACTCCCGTTCTGCCTGAATGATGGGATTTCTGGCCACTTCCTGGCGAATCTTCATCCCTTTGACTTGTATGGGATCCATGCCTTCAATGTCTGGAAGTCCGAGCGCCTTTCTCTCTGCAGCCTCGTCCTCCTCCAACTTCTTCTGGATTGCCTCCTGCTTCTCCAAGTCTCGCTTTTTGAGACGAATTTCTCGGTTGCGCTGTTCCAAGTACTTCTCACGCCTGGATTCTCGGTCAAATACGGCTGCCAACATTGGCCTGCACAATTACACCAGCTCATAATTAGCTTACAATTAAGAGAGACAATAATCAGTTAATTCTAAATTACTTTTCGCCCTTGTCAAAATCTGACATTAAATCAGACATTTGGATGAATCGTACATCTCCATGAATTGATCCAACGGCAATGTGTTTTCCAGTATCCGCAGCACAAACAGCGGTCAGCGCTTCATCACAAACCTTTATAATTTTGCCCATAATAATGGTTAAGAATCTGAAGTAGCACATGACCTTATGATCCTCAAGGATTTACATATGCATGTAAGTACCTTCATTTGCATAATATTATTCCCTCCACGAATGAGCAAGTCCCACCACTCCAACACCCCGTCATTTCTGCAGGCGATAAAACATGATGGGCGATTTATTAGCCAGTTGGCATCAGCATATCGCGTCTCCTGTATATTTTTCCAGACAAACATGCAGTAAACAGATGAAGAAATTGGTCCTACAAATACGCAATAATTATCGAATACTACTCACGGCTGGCACGGTCCACATGATGGAGGACTCTTTACAGTCCTCAGCAAATATCCGGATATGATATTCTCCCACGGTGAGAAAGTTTTTGATAAACATGGGATTGCGATGACATGCCATGACGGGCCCTTTGTGTGCCTTGTACATATGGATCATTCGCTCACTATAAACAACATGATAGGATTAGGAAATGGGTTTCCTGACAAATTGTTATACTAATTTCTAATTTGTTCTATTTTAATAATTATAGTAGAGATTTCTTTGCTCATACTACATATACGATAATTTGTTCTGATGGAAGTTATTGACCTTAAGGCAAATTTACCTGGGAGACTTCCCCTTCTTCATGAACACCATGACGTTGCCTGTTGAACAAAATGGGATATTCATCATTAAATTAAACTACATAACTCGACACTACATAAGTCAAACTTATACGAATTTATGTTGAAGGCAAATTTCCATACGTGCAATAAAGCAAACAAAGCTTACCTCTGTCGGTCCCCGCCAGGAATTTTGTGGGGAGGGTGTGTTCGTACTCAAGTACGGTGGCTCCGTGTGCGAACTCGGGCCTCCCTTGTCCTTTCTCAGGGTCACACCACAGCGTGTCCAGAGTTTGGGACAAATTTCTTTCGTCCCACCAAATGACCTAGTTCACAGCCACCATTATTGTAATCGCTAAACAAGCTGCTATTTTGATATATTGTGCACAATACTAAACCAGAACTGACCTGACCATCCAATCCACTAGAGAAAAATTCACAGCCAGTTTTGCTGTTGATCCACAATGCTGTTGTACACACATCAGTGTGACTCGTTTCGTAGGTGGACACCAGTTGAGGGTTTGGACTTACTCTGGCATCCCACGTGGCAACCTAATTGATTGAATAATAGGGCGACACGCTATAAAATAAATGCTACATTGACTACGCAGATGAGATTATTACTTGACCAGTGAACAAGGATCCAACAATGGTATGCAAATCTTTGGGGTGGTATCGGACATCAGTGATGGGACTTCCGGCCCGAATCATGCCTTCTGGTCGAGTCGGATTCTCAATTTCCCAGAAGAAAGCTTCCCCAGCGTGTTGGCGGAGAGAGGGGTCAAACTCATAAGGACATTGTGCCACCGCCATGCGACCAATGTTCTCTGGCGCAAAGGTGATGCGACTTACTCTACGTGGACGATTTGCTGGGTTTTTGTACACGTTTACTACAGTCGCGGTTGGGACAAGTTCTCGGTCTGGAGCGATTATTGAGTCGCAGCTGAACGCACTTCGATAAAAATTGATGGTGTTGTTATTTTTGATTAGTTCTTCCATTTCCTAGTCCAAAAATACTTTTATAGACTTGGTGAAAGAAATGTGATAGTTTTTCATGACCTACGTCAGCCATGAGGGGAACAGCAATTGTGAAAGCATCCTCTTTCTCCAGCTTTTTTCGGTGTCGTTGTATCATTTCTGGATCATTCATGTTGATATCCTTAGGCCATCCACCCTCCTCGTGTAAACCGCTGAATTCCGCATACTCTGCCCGAATTGTGTTCATCTGTCGCAGTAAAACATAAGTATTCATTACAATCGCCTGATTAACAGTCCACTTTTAATAATGAACACAAAATACGTAAAAATACGCTGCATTGTTCTACCTCATGTGTATGCAAATGAATGTGACTCGTAAATGATGAGATTGCATATTCATGAGATATATGAGCGTGCTAAAAAGTACCTCGTTGACACAAACTCCAGGAGCAGCCTGGACATCTCTATCCACCACGGTTTTCTTCACAACCAACTTTCGATATTTTTGAAGTGGTTTCACATTTGCATGGATCCGAAAATGATCCTGAAGACATCTTTCTTGTCGTCCAAATTCCTTACGCATTTTGGTGTATGAATAGACTAGGTTTTTATTCACATCCTTTTTTTCTGGGTTCTCTGTTGGAGCACTCATTTTAGTGGAGAGAGAGATGGAGATGGGGTAATCCTGCTAGAACTTGTGTTCAAAATATATTTGCAATTTCTGTAAACGAAAGTGGTCGATTATTGAGTTATTTATTGTCCCTTTGAACTCTATATAAACGCAATATTATTTGACACTTTATCATTCTATACATGTTACGACAAATGAATTGTTTCCAACACAAATTTTCATTTTTGAAGAAATTAAATTTTAATTATTATGTACTGAAAAAATAGTGTGAGTGGACCGTTGCTAAGTTGGATGATTGAGATGACCCCCTAGGTCAAATCGGGTCAAGTGATCCCACACCCTCCAGTGGGGTGTCAATCGATCGATCTAGATCTTACGATGACTTTGGTATATTATAGAATTTTGTGAGATAAGAATTGGCTGAAAAACTTATATTTTAGAGATATTCTTCAAAATAAACGTTTTAGCTATCGAAATAGTACACTCGAGATTTTTAGCTTAAAAAATCAAGCTAAAAATTAGGATGATTTCCTCCTCAGGAATTAAGTCTCTATGTCTGCCTGTTTAAAAGATATTCAAGGTTAAAGTCGTTGGGCCGGACAAGGGGACTTTCGGCCCAAAGATTTAAAAATGAAAATTTTTTTTCAAAATAATTCATTTGTCGCAACCGTATGGGGCACCGCCCATAGAAACGATGTCAGTTAATCGTGATATAAACGTGTACTTTTTATGAATTCAGGGATCATAGGGGATTATCTCCGTTGGTAACTATCGGGAATGGGATTTAAATACAGCAAAGACATCAAAGCATTCTAGAAAAGTTATTGATCCAACTTTCCTAAAGTTACATACGCTACGCTACAATCAAATATGATCGAAAATATCATGCAAGAAGTAGCTTAGACAAGTATCGCGATATGTATGTGCAATAGTATACATATTTATGTACATATGGATGGGTTGATTTTAGGACATGCCAGTTAACTTTAATCAGTAATGATTTGTAGTTAATGCTGCATCAAAAGAAAGTCGATTATTGCATGTAGATGCATACCTATGTACTTTTTATTAAATAGTTATTTCATGTACTCATTAAAATGCATTCACTTAAAATAAGCAGTTCGAACAAGCAGACGCATGCTGGGGAAACTTTGACGCAACAAACTTATCGCCTCTATTTATATACATAGCCTCTTGCCTCGCTGCTTTCTCCGTAATTTATGTGGAAGCTGTGCCACCAACACGGCGAATTAAAAATGGATGGAAAGGTGAGCACTTGTTCTGACTCCTTAATGGTTGTTGTGATAAACTCGGGCATCAGAGGACGTTGAGATTTTCTTCCTTCTCTTTACGCAGTCCTAACTTTGGCATCATTATTGCCGAGATCACGTGTAGATTAGTGTAACAACCTCTTTCGCTTGAAGACGGGAAGGTATACATACATACGTAAGCAAGTGAATGGGTCTTCCTATAAAAGGAAACTATGTACCACGAACGACCAACCAACCATTTCAGGATTTGTCCACAATTTGGTAGCAACATGACACGAAGGAAAGAAAGGATTGTCTAAAATTTATGGAGGACGGAATAAAGTTGGGCATTTCCACAGCATGAATTGAATTGCGTGTGGTGGATGCTCTCCGACATTGAGCCAACTCTCACTCACAGTGTCTGTCTGTATGTGCATACACGTTGGCTGCTTGCTTTTTGGTCCAGGTTCAACTTTTGGTTTTTGTTCTTTTTTGGTTTGCGTCTCCAGCTATGTATATACGTACATAGAAATAGAAAGTACATACATAAATGGATGGATGGAGGCTGGCTGCCCAATATTTGGCAGAGCATGCACACCATCAGACTTCCTAAGAGAGTGAATAGAATGGGCTGTGTGGAGGGATTTCTATAATAAGTAAAGTAATACATTCTTCATGTCAGAGATTCCAATCTACGTCCCCCTCTCTCTTTATGCCCTCCTCGCCCTCTCGCACTTTCTCCAGCCGACTTTGTCCCTCCATCCTCACTTTCCTCACCACCACCACCACCAAAAGCTGACGAACTAAAAGAGCCACGACCTATGCACACTCGCTTTCTCTCACACGATCTGCTCCCCGTGTGTTCACTTTCACTCTCCGTCAGTCTGGGACGGATGGATGGCTTCAGCTTTTCCATGGCTTGAGTAGCAATGAGGAGATGAACTTTGTGTGTGTATCTATGCTCCTGGCTGGCAAAAGAGTGTTTGTACGGTGTGTGTGTGTGTATGTGTATGCCATGCCTTGAGTGACAGTGGTGAGGCAGGGAGAAAGTGAGGATATACGGACGTATGTATATACATACCCATTCATTCAACTCTTGCCTTTGACGAAATCGACTGAGCCATGCAGCCGTAGCCGAGGAGAGGATCGTCTGATGTTGGGAGAGAATAAAGTCTTTGACCAGATTCGAATCAAAAGAAACCCATCCCAGAATGATTTGGCACTTGGTTGTCGAAAAGGGATAAACAAGTCAAGCGAGTCATTGGATTGATAAACAACGAGGCTTTTATCTCCTCTATTCCTTGTTGTCCTCTCCTGACTGACTGCCTTCATTCAATCCTCAGCCCAGTCCTTCAGTGTATTGCACACTCTTGGTGTTAATTGGGGCTGTACATCATAATACTTGTGGTGTAATTAGCATTGATTGATTGATTAGCCACTCTGACGAATAAGGGGAATGCATCAAATTACAACTGTGATGATGTTAATATCATGCATGGCTGGAGAGAAAGGGCGAGTGCATTGTGTTTTCTCCTATGGATATAGCTCTCACGTTATCTACCCATATAAGTATGTATGTAGGGCTAAACTTTGTTGAAGTCTCACTCCCCACCACCACCCACCATTGAATCACCATCTGGTTGTGCTTGTCTTGAGTTCCACTAGTTCTCTGCTGCCGAATGAAAGCCGTTTCCTCCTCCAACTTTCTCCCTCTCTAGCAGTCGTCTGGTGAAAGAGAAAGTAGTCCACGGCATAGTACACGCTTGCATTGAGAGACCTCCAGCCAGACCAACCTACCACCATAAGATTGGATCCCTTAGCTCTTCCTTCACCGTGTGGATACATTTATACCGCTCACTGCCTGCTACAACCACTTACTTTCGCCCTTCCAATACTTGTATACTGCTGACTGGAGAAAGACAGCAGCAGCAGCAGCAGCAGCAGATGATAGGAACAGTGGAACTTGGAGAAGAAGAGAGAAAGCAGAATCATCACCAGAACTGGCTAGCTAGCTCCACAACGTACATATTATTAGACGTCTATCTTCTGCCAGCCGAGGTTGGTCTGGTGGCTGTGAAAGTGTGGGAGAAAGTGGAGGAGCGGAGAGAGGAGTTGATACAAAGAAAAGGAGTGGAATTTTAGTTTTCCTCTCGATACCGTCATCATCATCATCATCATATACATCCACCAACTTTTACTCACACACTCACTCACTCCATCCTCCCGTGCACACTCACCAAACCCATTCTCGATACACTTTCCCCATGTAATCTCATCAATCATCACGATTTGCCAAGGAGTCTGAATACGAGGAGACGGACGGCGAGAGATGATAGAGAGCGAAAGCAGGCAAAAAGTGTTTATTTCCCCACTACTTACTTTCACTGCTGCTTTCTCCTCCGGATTCAAATTATAACCAGCAGCAAATTTTAGACGGGTGAAGTTGGACCACCTCGCCGTTCCTTCTCCTTTCTCTCTGTATAATAATACTAATAGAACAGAATAGTAGTGGTAACTCAATACTTACTCATCCCATCAACTTTTCTGCATTTATTTACATCCAAACAAGCAAGGTGGATAGTTTTATTATTATGATGGCAAGACATGGGGTGCAAGAAATATTATCATTGTCTACTCGTGGTGGTGCAATTTTGACACTAACCCACTAATTTATTTACAAAGCAAAGAAAGAAAAAGAAGAATATCGTCAACATTTTTGAGTGGGATGATTCCAAAATGAAATAGTGAGAAAAAATTTGCTCAAGTAAAATATAAGTTTAAGAGATAACATCTTATCACACATTTTTAACAACCATTCTTCGAAATTAGAAGAATAGGCAGTCGATTTCTCGGCCTAATCCATCTTATGTCACGATAACAACACAACTACAACTGGACGAGTGAAACTACATCACACACAACTGCTACATATGCAAATATTATTCAGGCAGAGTGGGTGAAAGCCAGCAGTGTTAATTGTTCGTGCCTTTTTGGTTGGTTGGGTGCAAATGCCAACGCAAATGCGGAAGGAAACTAATAACACGAGGAGCCTAAAAAAGTGGTGGGGCGTGCATGTGACTCAAAACAACATCGAGTGCATACGAGGCATATTTAGTTGGAAGCGAGTTTGTCTGATGGTGACGAAAGCAGAGAGCACGTGAAAAATTAAACCCCCATTAACTAACTTACTCGAGTAATAAATAGTTGGTCCCGTGAGTCGTGAGTGAGTGATTAAAATGTTTATATGTACTGATCTACTTATGAAGAACAAAGGCAGGAACATTTCTAGTGTTCCTCGGATTTTGTGAGGAGTTTTTATTTTATTGTTTTACTCCAATTTTGTTGTTTTTGTTTGGTAATGTGCACATGTTTAATTATTATTAGTTAACACGGATCCCTACGTTTTTTGTTTGTTGTTCCCGAATGCCTGTCCCCGTCCACGATTGAATATTTGGTTGTGCTCCAAACAAGAAGTACTCCTGCCCTTAGGAGTCTTCGCCACGTTCGTCAGTTTATATGTCCACAGTATGTTGTATTGGTCATTTTTGTGAAGGTAATAATGTTTCAGACTTATTTAAAAAGTGAATACTTTAGACGAATGGCTAAATAATTGTGATGTATGTAATTTTATTTTACAGTTCACGGTCCCCGCTTAGTTTTTTACACAATTCGAAACGTCCAAGAACCCCAATTCGTGAGTGAGTGTCCGGACCTCAAATTTTGCAGTGGGTGCAAAGCTCCATTGCTCGAAGGCTACATTTCGACAGTTCAAACTGTCCACGAAAATAATACTGTTCAGGCCCCATTGTCCCCATTGGCTGGCAGAAGTGGCCACAAAGGAGGAAGAAGTAGTGCCGGATCTTCTTCAGCACCTTTGATTGGCAATGGATGCACTTCGAGTCCAATTCTGAATGGAAGGTCCCACGGTGGAGCACATGGGTCTAGAAGTTTGAAAGTCTCGACCTCATCTCAAACCTTGTCGAGGGGAATAAACGAGCCTATTCCACGACAAGTAAGCAACGGCGTCTCTTCAGATTCTTCCGATCAGCCAGGTCCTTCATCTGCGGTCACCGCGGCTGCTGCTGCTTCGACAACAGCGACACAACCTGCAACTGCTACCCGTTACTATTGCAGCCATAGGTAATCAAATATGTAGACACTAATCGATCAGTCAAGTTAGTTTGGTTATGCCGTACTTAATTAATTCAACTCAATACTATATTATTGTTACTTATAATATTACAGTAATTACGACCACTCCCATTTGGCTCATTTAAACACATGCATAGCTAGGACCCTATCGTGTGAAGTTACTCCAAGCAATTCTGTTGCATTCACATCTACAGATATTTGGGTGAGTGTTTTAGTAATATTCAAATAGGGGAGCATGAAGAATTAAATTTAATACCTGTCGGGTCGCTTTTGTCCCTTGTACATATTTATACTACGCCTTAACACAAAAATATTTCATCGAGCAGGCATGTTTGAGGATCGTATTATGGTAATCGGCACTGCATCGTTTGATTAATATTTTACTAACTTTTAGGTGATTGGAACGTCATTCTCGCTAAAGGATTCTCTAGGTGTGTACAATCGATACTAATTACCTACCAGTCGTATTAATTACAATAATAATAAAATATTTTCAATCCGATACACAGCTAGAGGATTTTCTAGAAAATATTGCCTTGTCTTCACTTTTCTACCACAAGTACCCACATGCTGCCAACCAGACCTTGATGACGACTCTCCGCCTGTCAGAAAAGAGAAACAATCATCGCATCATCATCACAAGAACGGAACTGAACGGGAAGGGAGTGGTGGTCATCATCAACATTTACGAACTTGTCCAAAGTACAAAGGAGACAGGAAAGCCCCCAGACCTGGACATGCTCAAAGTTTAAGGGACGAATACTATTCAGACGGAGATCATAAAGGAGCCGGTTACTTTACAAACAGTTACGGACCCTCAGGATATCCTTCCCTGGTTCCACATTACGACTATATCACCGAAGAATTTTTCAACGTAGCTAAGCACTTGCAGACCGAGTGTGACAAGGTACACTCCAATAATTCTAAATTTAGCCAAGATAAATTATAATTACCTATTAGGTCTCCTATAAAAAAAATTTGTTTTGTTGACATCAGGTATTCTTCAAAGAAGAAGCCATCATTCCTCAAAGGCCATTCCGACTGACCGCCCTACTAGACAGTGTTGCAGAAGGTGGATCATCGTCTTTAGGAGGTCACGGTCACGGGCGTGGCGTTGGTGGAGGGCACCTAGGGGTTACTCGAAGTCAATCCAGTGGGGCTCGAAGTTTGCCCTTACTCACCGAGAATCCCCACGTTTTCCTAGATCTACACGAGAAGTTTGCAAAAATACTTCACCATGTGGATTTATAAAGCCTTTATAACTGCAACACAAAGTTGCCCATCATTCCTCTCCGACAGCAACCGTGGCGTAGGGAGGATTCTTCTCAACGTCAAACAAATATGTGTTCAAAGGCTGCATAATGGGCAGTCAAGCAACTTTCACTTGATTTCACCTTCAAGAGTCTCCCTTGCATTTGGTGATAAGGTTCAAGTACTTCCAAAACACAATTTCTTTTATACCAAGGGGACAACAAAGAATGGTCATTTCATGCTCAATGTCCAATTTTCCCGACCGTTCCATGCCATGTTCCTGACTTATTGCTCCAATAAATTTAATCAATTAAATGGAATGAGCAGTCGTTCTCATCGTCGCATTGAAATTCTCAAAGTGGAAACCGTGAAAATACGGAATGAAGGAACTTTCTCAATTCAGAATTTAAAATCTGAACAACTTGAAAAGTTTTACAACGCGAAGAGCAGCCAGTCGAATTATCATTCTGTGGACAATGAGGATAATGAAAATGACGAGGAAGACATGGAAGAGGTAACGAAGGAAGCAATTTGGAATGTTGGACCAACCCCTGCTGCGTCATTTACCTTTGCTGCATACGCAAATGATTCTGATATTATACAAAAATTGGTTAAATTGGGCGTTGATTTGTCCAGAGTTGAACGAAAGTATGGCACAATGCCATTTCTTCTGAAGCTAGATTTTGAAAAGGACATGGCCCCTACTATTCGGTGAGAAAATTTTAATTTCTACAGCGGATTATATAATATGCTATATATTTGTTTTATTATAATATTTATTATTATTGTGTTTTATTTTCTTTATTAATTAGGTTCTTGACAGACAATGGAGTCGATCCTTCTAAGTTGGGATGGTATTTTACGACAAATCCATTTCTCTTTGGTGAAGATTTAATAAACTTGGAGAAGCGGTTGGATTATTTGAGATTGAAAAACTTTACTCAAGAAAATATCTGCCGCATAATTAATTGCAACCCATTCTGGCTTGCATTCAGGTACTTGAAACATTCGCAAACGAGTGTGGAATGCATCTACCCATAAAAATCAAGTGATATATAGAATAATTAAAACTTCATGATTTATTCATATTATCTAAATGTAGTGTGACACGGATTGATCAGAGATTGGGATTTTTCCAAAGTTTTTTTCGGCTTAATGGCACTCAGGTACGGGAGTTGGTAGTCAGTGGACCTAAATTGATCACCTCCAAGCTGGATCGAGTTAAGGATGTTACATTCTTAGTGAAAGAAGAGATGGGGTTTGAGCCTGACGAACTTGTGAAAATGCTCTTAGACAAACCTAGAATTTGGAGAGAAAGTGAGTTAGCGTATAGGAAAAGTTTTTTTCGGTCCCTATCTAATTATTAAGTTTTTGTAACACAAGTTTTCTATATAATCTAACTTATTATAGAGCCAGATTCCATACGGAGACGATTTGACTATTTGCATAACGTGGTAAAATTTCCTCACAGTAAGGAAACTATTTAATTCAGTTTATAATAACAGCACTCTGCATACTCAATTACTATTTTTTTCAGACGCTTTTGTTCTCTGTCCTGAGTTGTTACTTGTTCGGGAGTCAAGATTGAAACATCGCATAGGATTTCTTGAACACATTGGGAAAGCGCAGTTCGATCCGGAGAAACCTAATTATGTGTCATTTGGAATGATTTATGAAGGAGATGACTCTACATTCGCGATAAAGGTAGCCAAAAGTAGTGTCTTGGAATTTAACGAGTATATGAAATGTTTGTAACCTCATATTATTACATTTCACCTAATCAGTCAAGTCAGTATTTTAGTTATCATTGTCACTTCACTTATGTATGTCCAATATGTACTACACACTCGGAAATAGTCGGAAATGTGAGATAAATTTATACATGTAAGAAGAATGGCGATTAAAACATTATTGTGTACGATTCTAGAGTAACAATAATAAGTCGTCTCAAGTGAGAAGTGAGTTTTCCTTTACTTTACATTGATCAGTTAGTTTAGTTATTAGTTTAATTCTTATGTTAATATGTGTGTAGTTGATTACTATTCATAATCATATATGACATGGAATCACATCAATAACGGTTGTTTGAAAACCTTACAATAATATGTTTCATTGATCATCATATCCACGTTCAATAACTTAATTATATTTGCTACTTGATACTGGAGTACGTATTAGGCCTAAAGCAATACTACACTGTCCGTTCATGTTCATTAAAATTAGTCGAATCCACCTGTTGATGTCAGCTCGAACGAATATGAAAATGAGTCCTACTGCTTATTTCACTAATCGTTCATCACGAATACAAGCTCTGAAATAAGATACATGCATCAACCACTATACACCTAATGTGATAACTCTATTATTGTGAATTATGTACATTGCTCTCTGTATTGTATACACTAAATATTAGTATGAACGATGACTGGTCAATTTTAAAAGCATTGATTATGATTAAGAATTATGCCGATTACTATTTTAATTTAAAACTTAGTTTGCATATATCGGTTGCTCATCCAGCCTATTGTTTTACTAAATTATATGTAATACTAATGGGATTAGTAATTTGTAAAATCCACAGGTCTAGAACATAGAGAGACAATATGTACGCGCAATAGTAGCCGCTACTGCTTATATTCAATAAATGACTGAAGGAAGACACGCAACCAATGTAATGAATTCAAGGTGTTACTACTTTTAGTTATGTCATTATATGTATGTCATTCATCTTAAAATCTAGTATATTTGTGAAAAAAATAACATCCAAAACATGTAGTTCAACTTATTTCAGCCAAATTTGGCTCAAATTGTTGTTGATCAGTGTTTGCTGGAACTATGTAGTTCGGTTTTCAAATATAATTTCAGAGCAGTATAGATGGACATAGATAATAGGAATATCGTTGTATGGGCATGACCTCACCCTCTTCCATCACTGCATAGTATACGTCTTCGTTGATTTGTATTTTTTGTGTCACCTCTCAGAGGAGAATGGATGTTGTTCAGAGTTTAATGAGTGGATGATGACAAGTCCTCCCCGGTCACGCTCCTTTCCTCCGCTAATTACAGGCTTGAGCACTTATACTCTTCTCCCAAACTTTGTAGTCAGCGTCGTCTGCATGCATGTTGTGTTCATATAGATGCACGTATAGGGATAAGGTATATCATCAAGAAGGAGGAGGAACACTGTGTGGTGTGGCTGCATGAATCTCTGAGCTCTTAAGAAGGCCAAGATTGCAAATCAAGAGCACATTTTATTTTTTCATTCAGTTGACAGCAAACGCACCGAAGCGGTATAACCGTATAACCAACACGAGACACGATCCCCCTCATTTTTATCCATCCTCACAATAATAATATTACCCTTGGCCTAACCACCTTACCACCACCGTTCCGTTGTTCGTCATGTGGACTTCCTTGTTATTAACCAACATAACAGCAGAATCATTTTATTAAGCTCATCTTTTATGCCCGACGCCCTGAACTGAACATTTGAATGGCACCACATTTTGTACGGCAGCTGTGAGTTTGGATCACTTATAACTTGGTTTTCGACAGAATTTGAAAATTTGAAAATTACTGGAATCCTGAGCTGGAAATAACTTCTTTGGAATAGGAAGAAAGGTAACATGAGAAACAGGAGAAAGTTAAGGAAGGAACAAGTTTCACACCTTGTCCATAATTTGATTGTATACGTTATTGCCAGGTAAATCTTTACGACACAAAAGTCAATTCGCAGAATCGTTTTTATTTTTTAGAAACTTTTTGAAAATGTCAATCTTCTCTGTGTCATCTTTACTGGCGTTTTTGCTGCCCCTAACCGGAGTCATAGGTTGGAGTGCATATAATCAACCGTGCTCAACGTACCATGACGCAATAGATTCATGCGACCCATATGCATTTCTGGTAAGGCTTACTCACAAATCCATGTCTACTTCTAAACTTCGTTTTAAATTTCGCCCATGCGTATTGAATATTGACTTGGCTTCTTATACATATTTTAGACATGCGAGCGGTCTCTGCTTGGCAGTGTGAGGTCGATTGATTATATTTGCAAATGTAGTTCTCCCGACTACATTTGGTCCGGCCTGGTTGGCAGGTGTACCCTCCGAGTGGGGTCAAACTGCCTTCAGGGCCCCTTAGGAAGAGGTCTCCCCAAATATCCGGACTGTCCCCCCTCCTCCTCCTGCGACATTCGCAGCTCAAACACGTGTAAATGTCACACCAATCACGTGTCCAATGCGGATGGTTCAGCTTGCAATAAGGGAAACAGTGTTATCTTTCGTCACACGACCAAGGGATCACCACTTTCATTTTGGCTTCAGCATTTAACCACTTTATCGCCCACCCTGCTCTGGTGGGGACTTTTATGGTTGAATAATCCTTGACTCCTGAAAAAACCTACAACATCAATGGGAGAATCTCCATCCGCTCATATCATACATAATAATATATTGTATTTAATGTCACAAATGTAGTTACAATTTGCAATTATTTTCACTGTTAAATAATAAAGCAATCTCAACCAAACTATCCTGCTTTGAAATTGCGAACTCACTCACACTTGCATGCAAACATTAGAGATGCATACAGATCATGCAGTAGAGAAAGCATGCATGCAGTGGTATTAATTATTAGCTCGGCATGTTCTTGACTCTGGTGAAAGCACTTTCATGCACATTTTGAGTTGAATTCTGATGATGGCAAAGGGCCAAAGGGACACGGAGGGACTGCCTCAAGGGTTGAACCTGGACGTACTTTTCACCGTGTTGTACTAATCCTAAGTACACATCGCACAGATACATCATGTACATATGTACATCATCGGTACATAATATGTACGGTTGCACTTCCTTTCTGCTCCTCCACTTGTTGCCTCTTAACAAAGCCAGTAAAAGAAGAATTCACTCATTGAGTGAGTAAGCAACCAAGTTTGTGTTCCTATTTTGTTTTAAAACTTTAAAGTTACGTTTAATTAAATATTATTTTTAACTGGATTACTCACTCTAGGAAAATCCATTTTGCATATTAATTTGACAAGTTTGACATTCGCATGATTATGTTATATGCATTGTGTGTGTAATTTTCGTCCTCTTTTTATCAATGTGTAAATGTGTTTGCTTTCTTATTTTCTCTAGTGATTATTGATGTAAGTACGAAAAATTATTTCATGCGGATTTTTGTAAAACATTTATTGCTTGTATATTGTACTAACTGACAGAAATACTTAATAACTGGCAGAAATTCGGTTTACTGTTGGAAAGGAGAAAAGCTGAAACAGCCAGAATCGACGCCGGTGGTCTGGTTGGTAGGCTAACTTTAGTTGTAGTTAGTGGTTAACTTTAGTTGTTGGATGCTGTAAAGTTTACAAGATTTATTAAACGTAGGTAAAATTTACCACATGATATTTTAATTTGTTTAATTCTTATGACTTTACCAAGTTAAAATTTATTGGGTTTTGCAGAAAAAAATGAACAGACTGAGGAATTAGATCTGATAGAAGTTTAATTGAACGTTGAGAATGAGAATGGATGAGGATTGAACCGTGCTTCAACGGAATTAAGAGGTTCAACGATGGCAGTAACTAGGTGGGTCCTGTCCTTGTTGGCGATACTTGCTCCGACCGTCGTGGCCGTGCAAGAATTGGAACACAATGTCGCAACTCGTGTCGGAAATGGGATGGGATTCGTCATCAGTGAGAACAGTAATTGCTACCAAAAGGTGAAAGGAACATGTCAGCCCTTGCAGCCATCGACTTTGTTCTGCTTTGGAGTTCAGCTTCCTTACACCATGACCAGGTTTGTACATTTTTTAATAACAATTAATAATGGTATGTTACTTAATTAGTTTGGACTTTTATTTAAAAACATGTACAGTACCCTATGTAATAAGGATGGAGAAACTTTATATTTTGGGTGAACAAACAATAATTTGGTCGTTCACCTATATCCCAAATACTTGCCTTCTATGACCAATTTCACAACCAGTGTGGGCTGTAGGGTCACTCTGGCAAAAAGCATTGCAATTCACTTCATTATCAGTATAAGCCACTTATAACCTTCGTGCAAAATTTTACATTTTTGTGTCAATTTCTAAAATTTGGTGCTGTTTAACCAATTGAAGGACTGGTCAACTGCTGAACCGATCCTGCCCTTCGAACTCATCCAAGGCCCTGTTGAGATATTAACATTAAGTTGGCCAAAATCGGTTCAGGGCTTCATCCGCTAGCATATCCTACGTATATCCACATTAATCATGGCGTACTAGGAATAATGAAAATTTTGCAATGTCAATGTCCAGTTCGCCTCGGACCTCAAGCATCAAATTGAGATGAATGTGTCCATCCCCCTCTTCTGAATACGGATCCGAGCTTGAGGTTTATTTTATCGCTTATGTTTTGTTTCAGCCCTGAACTGGTCAATGAAAACTTTACTCAGCAACAGTTACATGTAAAACTACTGTTTTTTTAAATACAATAGAATTGTTTAATTAACCTCAAAGAACCCTAGCTAACCTCAAATTTTAAATATGTTTTGATTCATAGAGTGAGATGATGCGTTGGGAAGGTAAGAAATGTAATTCTTTTATTAAGATAAAAGTAACAGGAATCAAAGAGTTTAATCCAAGTGATAACAAATTTCTCATACATCTTCTGAACTCATCTGAACACCCACCACTTTGACATTTGACGTAATGAATATTTCTCTTTATTTAAGGTCTCCGTAGTTCACCAAAATGCTGGGCAGTCATTCAACCGCTCTTATGTTCATACTATTTTCCAAAATGCCAAGATGGATTCATCGAATTGCCGCCTCTGGTATTGGAATGCTGTTAACAAACCATATTTTTAGATCCTCAAAGTAAAAATTTAATTACTGTTTACTCATTGGGTGTAATTTCTTTTTAATTTACAAGGACCGATGCAGGATAGCAAGAAATCCATGTCGCGTTATTGAACAAGCCACAAAACAATGGCCCGAATTTTTACAATGCAATGATACCTTGTTATTTCCTCCGCGTCCACCAGGCTCGAATTGCAAGGTAAAAATACGTAGTTCACGGAATGGGATTTTTTATGATAATGTGAACCTATTTTAAAAGTTGTCGTTTTAACTTGTTCTGTATCTATATTCTCATTACAGTATGAACTTCGGGAAAGTTTAAATAAATTTAACACTTCTGCCAAGTGTATGGACCCAATGATGGAAGTGGAAAACACTTTTAATCATTACGAAGGGTTTGATGGTTGTGCACTCAAGTGCGAAGATCCATACTTCAGGTTAGCAAATAAAACATAGCAAAAATCGTAGTTATTTCTGTATCATTGTAACTCAATTTGCATTATCCAATATCAAATCCAATATCTTCTGTTCCTACAATATTACTTTTCATTTAATGCAAACGATGAATTTTGCGTTGACTTTAAAGCAAAGAAGATCATACCAGAGCTTCAACGGTGATATGGTACTTTGGCGTCGCTGCACTTCTTTCTAATGGATGGGTCGTGGTGAGTCAAACGATTATACGATATAATTTTCGTCGTCTCTGGACAAGCGAGGTCAAGGTCCAGACTTGCCTTCATCAAGTTATTGTGACTCCAAAATAATTTTATAATGCAGTTGACGTACATTATTGGAGGAATGTCATCTTCCCAGTATCCCCAATACCCATCTGCCATTGTCCTGTACGCAAATGCTTGGTATTTCATAGGCAAGTCCAGAAGCCCTGCTCGTCTACATACATAAGTGTCGCTCATTAACTGTCTTCGTGTTCTATTTTAGCCTCTGTTGGCTGGTTATTTCAGTATTTACCTCTGGGGAAGGAAGATATAGTGTGCCGCAAGGATGGCACTGTACGAAGGAACGAAATCACGTATGTAGAAGATTAAATACTAAAATATACACAAACTAATTATGAATCAGAATATAAATATTATTTTGCATGCAGGGGAACAGAAAATATTTTTTGTGGATTGGTTTCATCATGGATTTATTTTAGCATAATGTCAGTCCTTGCGTGGTTAATGGTGTTTTCATACGTTTGGTACTTGACTTGCAGCGCAGTTGGTATATGATACTTACGTTTCTACTTCTTATTAGTATTGTTATATTGTTATTATATTCCAACCGATATGCTCAGGCCGGATTCGAAGCAAAGTGGATAAGCAGCGAGCTTACTTTATTGTTTGGACAATTGCATTTCCCACGATCCTCACTGTAGTTTGCCTATCAGTGGGAAAGGTCAGTTCATTACACACTTGTAACATCATGTAATTTCTCATGTATCTACTTTTTTCTGCAGATTGACGGGAGCAGTATGTACGGAATCTGTTTCGTTGGATTTTATGACCCAACGTCTAGAATTCTCCTCGTTTTTATTCCAATTGGGTTTGCATGTGCTCTAATTTTGTTTTACATATTCCGTGGAACGCATTGCTTATTTAGCGTTTCACTATCTTCGTCGGACTTTATTTCTGCAGAAGGAAATGCTGAAATTAAATCTAATGCAGTTCGAGCAACCATATTCTCCCTTTTGACAATTGTGCTACTGGGCACTGGATTTTATGTGCAAATTAATTCAATTCGTAGCCAACCTACTTTCGACAATTCTCTGCGAGAATCTTTTTTGTAAGTTTTCCCAATAATGCTAATTGGTTTAATTGGCTAATTGTAGGGCTAAAAGGGTAGTTGCTATTATTTTTTATTGTTCGTCTAGGTGCAAAATGAATTTGACTGTCGTGGCAGAATGTGGGACACCTGAAAAGCCCAGCGTCTATCTCGTCCTAGAAAATGTGATTGTATTCTTTTGTGGGGGATTGCTGGTCTCTTCATGGGCTTGGACTTCGTCTTCTATCAATATTTGGAAACATAGCATTAAAACGTACCTACATACATATAGACTTTTGTAGCACCACATAATCTGAATGATTTTATCACTCATTTTTAAAGTCTAACGTTTCTTTTAAAAATTTATGCATGCAGATTTTGCAAGTCTCATGATCAGGAGGGTCACCGGTCTCACATGCCGAAACACGAGTTAATCACTAAAGCTTATGCGAAGCGTGGAGAACTTGCGAAAGGTGAGGTTTATTGAAATATTTTAATATATATTACAGATTGTCTATGCCGTTGTTTAATCCCTGACTGATAAATCTATGATTGGTTGTAATAATTCAACCTTTGGATAGGCATATTTGTTGAAGGTCGCAATATTCGCTTCATTTTTCAACCATTTGATCAATTTCTGATTGATGACAGGCCAAATACTGGGTCGAAATCCAATTATTGATCCTTTCACAATTTATTTTATTACAGGGAGATTAAGTCTGAGTTTATATAGCATGGCCCAAGAAGACCCCATTGGTTTAAACCGACTACTGGACCCCAACAATCTCTGCCGCAACGCAGATGAAGAACAATCTCAGCAGTTTAGTCAAGGAACTGGCGATGGACGGGAAATTAGTAGCGAATGGGCTGCTGCAATTCCTCAATTGTAATTGTTTTTATTTCATAATAAATTTAACCACTCATTTGTCATTGTATCCGTAGTTGTCACTCACGACTTTTTGTTATTGAACTATTAAATTCAGCCTAAATCGGAGAGGCGCCATCGTTGTTCCTCCATCCTCTAATTCCGTGTCCTATGTTTCTGAAGACTCCCGACGACCTTCGTGCGATTCCGCAATGTCGGAGCAGATTGCTGCCAAATACTTACAGGGCTCTCATGGTGGACTCGATCGCAAGTAAGCTAACTTAGTTATCATTTCTATTTTGCCATACAGTAATAATATGAACGTGGTAATACTAAGTATTTCATGTTATGTATTTATTTTAGGGCTAGCAAACGAGAGAGATTTAGAATGGACCGACATCACAGAGCAGGAAGATTTTTTAACTACTGGAAAAGAAAAGGGTCCAACAGAGGCAGCTCCACATCGTTGGAGAGCAATCCAGGATCTCAAGTTAGAATTATAATCTGAGCTATTATTTAAGTCACATATTTATATATTAAGTGCAAATCACTATTAAAATATCATCTCTACTTCCCATCAGATCCTCCCAGCTATAACAAAACTAATTGACAAAAGGGAACAAATGGGCGACGACAATCTATTTCTACCAAACAATCAAGCTACACGGCTGAATCAGCCAAAAGTCTTACGTGAATTTGCAATTCAGACAAGCCTTGAGAAATTATGCTCACCCTCAACGAAAGGAATTAAGCCTTGCAATCTCAGCAATAATCTCTGTGTAGATAAAGCCACTCAATATAGTCTAGTTAACTTAAATGAAGTAGGGACGCAAACCAAGAAATCTGCGACAAAGAAGCGAGACAGGAACAAAAATAAGAAAGATCATGCCACCGGAGGCGACGGTGACGGAACGACACAAGGAAATTCAACCCAAACAGGCACGGATGACGCCGTCCTCAAACTTTTGACTCCAAATTGACAACTCTTAAATTTGCGCTTATTTTCTTACTAACTTGTACATTTCGTCACGTGGCCGCCCATAAATTATGTCACGCGAAAGGGGGGGGGGTCTAAAAAAATTTGCGTGGCATAATTTATAGATATACGGATGTATTTAATTTCCGTTCACTCGTCCTGTGTTCAAAAAGACGAATCAACACTCATCAACGCATTTTACTTATTCTATAAGTCTACTTTGAAAATTTTTACTGAAATTAACCGAGATCTAACATATATGCATGTAACCTGCCATGATAAGATATATACATACAACCTTGCCATAATTTAAATACGGAAAGCAGTCGAGACTGATATTATTGTATCTCAACTATTTTATATTTAGTTAGCATACTACAAAACTTTAAGTCTAAGGACTTCAAATTTATGAATAATGTGTAATTATAAAAGCCACCTGTGCCTAAGTGCATAATTGTACATTAAAGCTTTGTCTGAAGATTGATTATTTTGATAAGAGGTTGACAAACGCCACCAAAATTTCATACATTATACAATGCAATAAAAGTAATTTTATTACAAAAAAATTATTGTATCTAGCATCACCAACATCAAACGACAACGAATAATAATTATCATTGACTAGTTTATTAGTATTGCTGTTGCTGCATAAAAACTGAATTGATAAAACTTTATTGTAAATTATTACAAAATACATACATACGTTGACCAAATACAATTTGTACGCTCATTCCAGATCTAATCATCTTCACAATTTATTATACTACGAAACATTAATGTATGTAATGCCACATGTAGTTCAACCATCTTCCAATGAAGATACCCTTTATTGCACATTTATTTTGTCCTATTCGAATTCAAAGTCAATGTTATAAGAAATGTATTTTCCAGATTGGAATGTACTTAAATCCGTATTTTATATTTTACAAACCCTGAAAATTTTGCAAACTATGTATATCATTCGTATTGGCTTAAAAATTACAGTAAATTGACAAATCACAACACAATAGCTTAGTCCGTTTTACAGAGATACTACTTGAGCTGAATACTCACGGAATAAAATAGCACGATTTGCTAAATAGGTGTCTAAAGTTACTTGACTTTCTTCTTTCCTTTTGTCGACTTTCCTCCTTTGGCTGTTTTCACTTCATGGGCACCTTGTAATGCAAGATTTATGGCTCATACATCAATAACCATTAATTATTTGTTATAGTACTTACCTTTTCCCCACCGCCACTTATTAATGAATTCCCCAGTAAAGAAACAGGCCAGGATTGCCACTGCACAACCACCCATAAATGCTGCCCTTTGGTAATTGTTCAAAATTTGCAAGATAGCTATAAATAAAAATAATTGAAAGTGAATTACCTACATAAATAAATACAACAGTTCTTATTACTACATGAAATTTCAGATTTTTCTTACGATACGCCCAGACTCCACTCACATGATTAACCCAACAGATCCTTAAAAACAATTATTTCACAACTTTAGTTAATTGTGAAAATAAATCAAGACATGTCAACAAGACAAAAGGAAACGTATGTAAGCTGTCTGGATTGGCAGTACATCAGAATGCAAATATACAAGGCATCAGAATGCAAATATACAAGGCGTGAATAATACTATGAATATTATGCCAAAACAAAGTATGTACAAACCATAAAAGGTAAGTGCAGATTCCTGATACGGTGAGCAAAGGCCCAATAATTCCCTTGGGGTAAATTATGGCAACGGAAATACTCTCAATTAATATGAACACCACAGGCAAGGTGTGAGTACTATGGTTTAGCCAGGTCGGATAGAAAGAATCTAACACTTTTGGAAACATTAATTCACGATCCACTGCGTATATCCCCCAGAATATTACGCTTACAAACTGCAAGTGCAAAAATAAAACAAACAAACATTATTACAAAACAAAGTGCAACAATTAAGAGCATTAGGCCACAAGTTCCTGACTTGAACATACATATTACATATCTTACGATCAGGGACCCACATTGTTCAATAATAAAGCAGGGAATTAGTATAACAGAAAATAAGGCAGATGCATTTAAATATGAATAATTTAAACAATAAAAGTAACTGCCAGCAAGAAAGCGTTAAACGTTTGAGCGAGCCTTACCATGAAATGTAGGTGGTAGTGAAAAATAGATTGGCAAGTATCGCATTGAAGGAAGAAGGAAAGATTTTAGAGACGAAATAAGATTCGACGAGTAAAATGACAATTGGAACGGTGTGTACGGCATGATTCAACCAGTTTGGAAAAAATGCGTCCATTTCTTTAGGAAAGACGAGGGCTCGGTCGATTCCGTAGAGGATCCAGAATGACAGAGATACAAACTACCAAAGGTCATTAATCCATTTAACACTCATTGTTGAAATAGAAATCAAAACTTAATTTATCAATTTACTCCAAATTGCAGAATACAATTGCAGAATACAATTTGCATTGCAAATACATGTTGTGTAATATTGTACACTTAAGCCATGCAACACATTGATAGGACTAAGATAACTAGCTACTAATTGTACAATAATTAGTAAGTTCAAGTTATATTAAATACGGTAAAATCCTCAAACACAACTGCTACTAGTTGAATATATGTGCATTACCATGCCTGCAGGGAAGACCCAACTTGCAAATATGTAGTCACGAAATTTTTGTAAAGAGCTTTGACGTTTAGGGTTTAGTTCCGAAGTCCCAGCAAAATCGTTGACGATGAGCGCAAACATGTGGTACACGAATTGCAACACCTTTGACAAAGGTTGCACATTTCAGTGAGGATTGGATAATTTCAAATGAAATCCCAAGTTGGCTTAAATTACCATATTCCAAATCGTCAAGTATTTCCATTTTCCTGGAAAAGCAGACATTGAGTCGAAATCCCCTTTGTTCTTCAAATGCGGTGGTACGTGGACAAACTTGAGGTCATAATACAACGCATAGCCAAAATTGGCTGCACCGGCCAAATGAATGAAAAGAGCAATCCAGTTCATATTTGGATGAAATCTGTATTACAAAATTATTTATTTTAGTTTCATTTAATAATTTAAAGCTTTAAATGCTTTTATTATTATGAAATTGAATTATTTATTACAGGTTTTTATTATTACATACCTGACTAAACTAAAGAATTATTTAGTCGGATTTAGTTATAAGTGATATTATTCTATAATCAATCTTACTGAACCTGGTTATATGCTGATTAGACCAAATTGGTTTTAAGACCACTAAAATTAAACGGGTGGCAATGATGTTTAGGGGCTAACAAACAGATAGTTAATTAGCGTGGATGTTATATTATTATATCATAAGTTGAGTTGATTTATCATCATCATCATATACTACATGCACTCATTGCACTTTACTTACTAAACTCACGTTAATTTAATACTGCTCGAGTGATTTGACTTTGACCTGCAGAAAACTTTTATCAAAGCAGTATGTTTGCACACACACTCAGACACTCCTGACCATTATGCTCTCTGGACTCGAACTTGCATGACGATAATAAGAAATATGATGATAATGGAACTCTTCAATCAGACTACGTCAGTTAAGTAACCTAACCACGCTCTATCTCAACTAATGTTTTTCAAACTCTCATATCGATATTTCTCTTGTTAAGACTCTTAATTTCTTTACGAGCTGAATGATCCATGTATGTGCCCGATAGTGTATTTAGCTTTCCCTTTTCTCTATTGTTGTATATTTATATTTATTTTAAACTGGAATGTTGCTTGTTTTGGAAAGTGGATGATTGACAATTGCAACGTAACTTGTGCTTGGCGTCAATCCGTTGGAGAATCGACTTTCTCTTTTAGCTGCTTTCCCCCTTGAAATGAGTTTGTTGCTTTGCTTTGTTCAGCAGAGTTGCATTTTTGTCTATTATAGATTGAGTCCTATGCAGCTTGTGGAAATTTGCGCTTGAGACCAGACGTAATGTATATAAATGCAATTTGCGCTTAAGAGCTGCATCTATGCTTTAAAATAAATGAAACTTCATACGAATGAAATATGGACCTAATTTAAAATTTAAACACATTTATTTTCTATGTTCATTAACATTCAGAACGAAGGGCTTCACCCATTTAATAAGCATCTACTCTGCCCTCCTGTTTGTATGTTTTCCCATGTAATAATAGGACTGCCGACGGTTTTTGAGGCTGGGGATTTCGAAAATTGTGACCTGTGAAATTGTGACCGTAATTGATTTTATGCCGTATACGTTTGCTAGGACGGTTGCTCATACCCCCAGATTGCGGGAAGTAGAGGAACACAGACGGCGGGGCTGCGCTGTCATGTCGCTCAAAATAACAAAGATCCACTCACTCTGCATTTCATTCAGCTTCTCTCCTCCGGTCGCAAGACAAAAGAATTGGGAATTTTACTTGCTTCTCTCTCAGGATTTGCCGTGTTTTGAATTCCAGTTTTGAGCAACTTTGACATAACTTTTGTGTCGCAGTTAATTGCTTCAGTTATCATTATGATGGACGACGAGAGAACCCGTCTTCAACTCGATATTCAACGACAGTATGTGGAGTTTTTGGATGACTCGGTAAGCACAACAAAGGACTCGCTATGGCTAGTATAACTTATTAAAAGTTCGTTATCGATTCTCCATATTTTTGTTTGTTCAGAATGACTCAAAAGTTTACACCAAAAAGATTGAGGGAATGATTCGGAAGAAAGAGACCAGGGTCATCATTAACATCAACGACTTGCGGCAAAGATTTCCTATCCGATGTAACGAGTATGTGATTTTAAAATTGTTCTGCTAATTGATCATTATTACGTAAATATGCATAAGTATACATAGTGTATAATAACTTATACATGTGTATTCATATTGGTTTGTAGATTACTGAAGAATGGGTTTGACGAACTTCCAATGGTGATGAAAGCACTGCGGGAAGTTGTCGCAACAATTGATTCCGAGTATGCCAAAGAGAACGAGGAATTCTTTGTTGGATTTGAAGGAAGTTTTGGAACGAAGCATGTTACTCCTCGCAGTTTGACATCTACGTATTTGGGAAACATGGTGTGCGTAGAAGGAATCGTTACTAAATGTATGCTTTTACTTTTTTCGTACTACTAATGGATACAAATCTACAATTTGTATTGCAATGAATAGTATTGAATAGTATTGTGATATTATATATTAATTATCACGAAGGTTCCATTATTCGTCCAAAAGTTGTTAGAAGTGTGCACTATTGTCCTGCTACAAAAAAAACGATGGAGCGTAGGTACGCCGATCTTACAAATTTTGACGTCTTCCCCTCCGTGAATATGTACCCTACGAAAGATGAGGATGGAAATCTTCTTGAGACGGAGTATGGACTGTCGAAATACAGAGATCATCAAACTCTTACAATTCAGGAAATGCCCGAGAAGGCTCCTACAGGTTTGTTTAATACTATCAATGCACAAAATCAGACTGTTGGGACGTAATAAATTTCAATTTCAGGTCAGCTTCCAAGATCCGTTGATGTGATTGTGGACAACGATCTGGTAGATCAATGCAAACCGGGAGATCGAGTGCTGGTGGTTGGAGTTCACCGGTGCCTCCCTGGCAAACAAAATGGATTTACCAATGGAGTTTTCAAGTATTAATCAAAATATAATTTCCCCCTTAAGACTCCAAAAAATAAATTGCATAAATAACATATGGTACATTATACAGGACTATCTTGCTGGCAAATCAAATTACCATGATGTCAAAAGACGCAAATCTTGACATAACTCGTAGTGATATTAGCGAATGCAGGAAGTTCTCAAAAACTTTTAATCCATTTGAAGTCTTGGCTCGCTCCTTGGCCCCCACTATTCACGGACATGAATATATAAAAAAGGCTGTGTTGTGCCTGCTTTTGGGAGGCGTCGAAAAAATCTTGCCTAATGGAACCCGATTGAGAGGGGACATTAATGTTTTGTTAATTGGAGATCCATCGGTGGCCAAATCCCAAATGTTGCGTTATGTTTCTAATGTCGCTCCTCGAGTAGTAATGACTACTGGCCGTGGATCTTCAGGAGTGGGATTAACTGCTGCTGTGACCACAGATATGGAGACTGGAGACCGTAGGTATGGACATGACATATTCATGTCATTTTTGCATTGAATTTATCGTGCATTTATTCACGTCTTAATGTCTTGTAAATTTAGATTGGAAGCTGGTGCTATGGTCTTGGCAGGTAAAAATGTCAATTATTAATCAATTATTTTACAACGTCTTCTCATAACGTATCGTGGCGTTCATTTGATGACAGTGATAAAAATTAAAGAAAGTCATAAAATTACCAGGCTGAAGTGGCAAGAAGCACGATATATTTGTTCGTACGATCATCCACTCTGGAGAAATTTTTTCCTTCGGTAGAAGTAAGACCTCTTTTCCATGAATTTACACGAGGCCTATATATTTTTGTTTCCACTTTTACCGTAATTTTTTCATTATTCATTTGTACTTTCTTATAAACGAACTCAGAGCAAACAACCTTCTCTTCAGCAGTCTTTATATATATCTGCTCATCATCTTCAGATAGAAATACATTTGAGTTAATGGAGCACATATACGAATGCTACAGCTACTGCCTGATACGAATGATAAGAATATAAATTAATTATATATGTAAGCTATAATCGTATTTGCTTATTTTTTCCCATCAACCAAACGGACGGACAGATAGAGGAATTGTATGCATTGATGAGTTTGACAAGATGAGTGACGCAGACAGAACTGCAATACATGAAGTAATGGAACAAGGTGAGTTTTAAATAGCCACAAATGTAGTTTGGTCAAACCAACTAATAACAACCTTACAGGTCGAGTTACAATTGCAAAAGCTGGTATTCATGCAAGACTCAACGCTAGAACGGCAGTACTTGCGGCTGCTAATCCAGTTTACGGGAGGGTGAGACAGTACAACAGTGCAAGCACAATATTTAATACATCGATAAGTTTAGTAATGTTCTTCATTTTGTTTGTAGTATGACGAGTACAAGTCACCTATGGATAATATCGGACTGCAAGACTCACTTTTGTCTCGATTTGATCTACTGTTTATCGTTCTGGACGTTGCCGAACCTGATCTTGATAGGGCCATCTCTGAGCATGTTCTCAGAATTCATCGTTACCGGTAGGAAGGATAAATGGACAATTGACGACATTTTTATGTGTAGAGTTTATATACTTCCTTATACATATTATGCACTTATGTCAATTTTTTGGTTTTGATATAGTAACCCTGCTGAACAAGACGGAGAAGCTACACCTTTATTCCAGAAAGACCAAACTCTTAGTACCCAAGACATGGAGAAAGAGAAACTGGAAAATACAGAACCGACGAGTGTTTATGAAAAACATAATGAATTGCTCCATGGACCAGCCGGTCGTGGTAGAAATCGAAAGTAAGATCTTAGCTATCATAAGTAAAATTAATGAATGTTCATTTCATTATGAAACTTTCATACATAACTTATGCTTATGTAACATAGGCATATATATATAATATTTTAATTCACTTTTTTTAAGGGATAAAATTCTGTCCATGGAATTCATGAAGAAATATATTCACATTGCTAAATGTGTCAAACCTAAGCTCACCTCTGAAGCTGCAAAAATAATTGCCGACGAGTATGCAAGCCTCAGATCACGTAATCTTGAAGAGGACCATATGGCTCGAACTCAGCCAATCACTGCTCGAAGTTTGGAAACCATGATTCGTCTCGCTACTGCTCATGCTAGGGCACGAATGTCTAAAGACGTGACAAAGGAGGACGCCCTGGTGGCAATAGAACTGGTTCAATTTGCATACTTTAAACGAGTACTTGAGAAAGAGAAGCGGAAAAGGAAACAACGGGATGAGGAAGATGAGGAAATGGATGTGGAGGAGGAAAGTCCTGCTGATGAAGGGGAAGAAAGAGGAGAAAATGGGGACGATTCTCGACGAAGTAAACGTTCCAAGAAAGACGCCTCCAGGGAAGACGATCCTTATGATCTTCCAACAGAGGAAAACGAAACTCTAGCGGAGCTAAAAAAGAAAGCAAGTGGTACTTCTCAATCTCAAGATTCAATGGATGTTGATGCTCCTGAGGAAGGATCAATTTCTGATGAGCGGTATGTTCTAGTTGCATATAAACAAAGATACAGCTTAGATGAGTATTACATGCAAGCGTGTATATTTCAGATATGGACAGTTTAAAACTCGACTCTCTGTCTTGTTCACAAACGAGCGAGAAGAATCGCTGTCAGTTGATAAAATTTTTGAATTCATGGGAAAGCCACCACAAGACTTTAACCGGAACGAAATTAATGGTGGACTCAAGAGAATGGAAGATGATGAAAAGATTTTCCGAGCTGAAGGATTTATTTTCCTAGTTTAACTTGTAATTTACAACTTGCAAACAATTCTATTTGTATTTTATAAAATATGTGGTAAATATTTAAATGAAACTACACGCTCTTGACAAACCTGTACAAACATTGTTTATGAGTAATTTGCGGTAGAACTGCAAACATTATTTAATAAAAGTCTAAACAAAGTTTGGATTGGTTCTTGTCACTACATACTATAAATTATTATCTATCGTCATAATTGACTCAACAAATTTTAGTTATTTCTTTCATTGTAAGAAACACTGGGCACTTTACGCTTCCAAAATAACAATATTATTATTGTAAAAGCTGTTTCAATCTTAACGAGTATCATTAGCATCTGATCCCTGTTCCAATTGCTGAAAGAAATCACAGAGGTATTAATTAATGTATGCAATACTAGTATACTAAAAGCATAAAAGCTTGCTGATAAACTTTTTTCTTACCCATAAATGTGCCAAAAGTACCTCCTCCCTGCAGCATTACTTTCCCGACGTTATTAACGAGGTCTCTTCCCCTTAAGCCCATCCTGCACACAAAAGGTCTTTAATAAACCAACCCATTTTATTTACGAAAAAATTAACCCAATATTTGTGAAGTGAAGATACCTAAGCGCCCCAAATCCCCCAAAAATGGCTCCAGACGCCATTCCTATACAAAACCCTAGCATGAATCCGGTTTTCATGCGGTCAAAGCAACTGGAACCGTGTTGCTGATGCATTCCACCACTCATTGGCATTGGCATTTTGGAAAGCTGTTTCGAGCTTATTAAAATACGACAGTCAACAACCAACCAGCACAACAGAAATTGAACTTTGACCCGTTCACCGCTTAGCTCAGTATGTTTTGAAAATGTAAACCATATACTGAATATGAACCAGATAATAATTAAACCTTTCAAACTCTTTTCTATCTTTTTTTGCGAAATTGAAAAACAAAATTGTCGGCATGAGATCAGATCAGTTTGAGAATCAGAGCTCCCGGGGATCCACTTATGATGAAACTTTGTGCACTTTTGACTGGGTAGCTTCTAATTTCCTAATTTTCTTAATTCCAAACTTTTCGCATACTGATAATATACTCAGATTTATTATTTGCAAATTAAGTAGAGAACCCCATACGGCTGCTCTTGGGTAGTGTGATATAGCTTCATTAATACGTAACTAATTTGTTATTTTAATATATCAAAATATGCATAAATGCATATACTCTGTATTACACCAGAGAATAAAGGTGTCCAGACTAGTCCAGAGTCTTCAGACAATACCTTTTGTCCGGCAGCTCAGCCTAGAGGTAGTTTGTAGACAATAACCTCTGATTAGGTTGATCAATTCGACAACCTCAGATAAAAATTTTTATCTTCTTGGACCGTAGATGTTAAGTTTAATTCAGTCGTCGTGATATTTATTAAAGACTATTAATTTGTAAGTACATGCAATCAGTTCAGCTTTATCAAATTATCATGAACTTAAACCAACGTGGTGCAAAAAGAAACTCATCGTGTGAGTACCTAATAAACGGTCAACGGTAGCCAAAAATTCAGGGCTCGACCGGGAATCGAACCCGGAACCTCTTCAACCCGAATGAAGAATCATACCACTAGACCATCGAGCCAAGTATAAAAGTAAACCTGCCGGAAAAGTTACCATCAACTGTACCCTAGTTTTAGTCCTTCTTTAATCCAAGTAATTGTAATTTCCACGCAAATATATGGTCGGAAAACGCTTTAGAATTAGTTATAAAGGAGATGAAGGACAACGCTCTGCATGAAAACTTTTTGTCCAACTTCGATACTTTCACAGCTATAGTTCATATCCCATGGTGTGGCTTATAGGATGTGACATTTTATGTTTTTTTTCGAATCGCTGCTTTCCTATTTTGAAACCATAATCAATTAATCATCATATGGCCAAAACGTGTTCATGATACTTCTAAAAATCAACTTTAACACCTTGTTATGAATATAAGAATTAAATCATTCATGAGCTGAACGTGAGAACGCATAGAATTTCTCTTGCTGGCTTTATAATCAACTGGCGCCTAAAAATTTTAATTTTCTTTCGTTCCTTCATCCAGTCCACTCTACCAAAGATAAAAACTTAAAATATACTAATAATTTATTAGTAATAAAATAGAAAATTCGGAAATTTTACTTAGCTGAAGTGCCTTCATTTAAGATCGTCTGAGTGGCAAAGTGCCTACAATGATGTCATTGTTAAATGTGTCGACTTGAGTAATAAATGAAATTTAAAACACCGTTCAACCGTCTACACAAATCAATCCGGTAATTTCACTCAATCTCACTAGTGCAGTTATGAAGTTGCATGCATGAATGTACACACTTGCTTATCATTATTACTCATATCAATCTCTTCTTCTTTTTTGATGGCGAACAACAGAGGGAAATAATATGGAAGCAAGATCTCGAAAACGTTGCCGTCAATCCACAGCGGTGGTCGAGACAACAGAGCCGATCGCCAGCGGCAGCAATGAAGGAGGAGGACGTCGCGCCCGGTCCAAGACAGCACAGCAAAGCCAAGGTCGTAATTCATCAACTTCCGACTTCAGAGTTACGTGCATTACTGTCCCAGTGACAGACGAGGACGATATGGAGGTCGTGTGCAAATTGTGTCACCAGAAAATGATCCGGAGACAGTTTCGACTGCATAATATGAAAAAACATCGTAATATTGCGACAACAATGGATGACCCAACGGTATGAACGAATTAGATTTAATTAAAATATACTTATAGAATAACGTCCTGCTGACGTTTTATTTATTTATCTATTTATTTATGCCTTCAGGTTCCTGAACACAGATTTTATGAAAGCCGTTTGAGGGAATTTGTAAAGTTCATGAAAACTAAAATTTTAAAATGCCCAATGGATCGATGTAACTCATCGTATAAGAGTTGTTTGGGGTTAGCATATCACTTAGACACTTGTGGAAAAACAAGAGAGGTTTGTATACTTATATATGATGTGTATTATCAGCAATAATGTCGGCAGGCTTCTTAGCTTTTTAAGAGGCTGTGACAGTAGTAATTTTATTCGGTATGTTTTAAAATCCAGGAAATCGAGGCATGTTTGGTAGAGTGTCCAACATGTGGTAAGAAACTTACCCGTCCAAACCTCGCATGGCACAAGAAAATACATGAGAAAGCGATTCTCGCAAATTCGAAAGAGGTGCGAAAATTTTGATGCGTAATAATGTTAATGGTTTCTAAAACGCATAGAAGAATTTTATCTAATAATATATGCTCGCCAAAAACCCATTTCTTCAAACTTGGCAGGGGGAGGAAAGCCGGAGTCAACCACCAGTATTAGCTAGTCCTCGCTTGAAAGGCAGAAAGTCCGCGATAAAGTTCGTAGTAGAGTACCAATAAGAACATTGTATTAATTGTAATGCCACTTATTTAATATTGTCGTTGTATATTATTAAATAGGGCACGAGAATGCTTTTTGCAAGACGGCGGCGATGATGACTCAGATGAGTCATCATCCGAATCCAAACTCGAGAAAATTAAAGGAAAGCGGAAACAAAAGGATGTAGATTACGAAGTAGACTCTTACGAAATTGAATTTGTAGATAAGAATGAGCGAAATCAAGAAACCAAGAGATCCAACCTCAAGTCTCCTGTTGTGAACAAAGGTGGGACAGGGAAATCAGAATTTAGTTCAAAAGCGACTGAATTTATTACGTCAAAGTCAAACTCATCTCATGATGCCTATTGGAATAAAGTGGAGAGGGTATTTGTTGACCCACTTGAACGTATCCCACAGAATTTGTTGATTGAACCAGAAGCAGAGCAAGATATCTCGGAATATCTTCCAGGTGTTGCAAAATCTGTAAAATTTAAAACCATTGTCGAATCTAATGATGGCGGCAAGGACATCATCAAAGGGTTTCGACAACTCCCTTGGTTCCAAGGAGAACTAATTGATACTCAGAATGGAAATTTCGTGTTCAATGCTGGTGGCCCAGTTTTAGGATTAAGTTGGCATCCGAATGGGAAAGTTTTAGCTGTGTCTACAGGTGGTGACCCTTTCGAGATTATAGATTACAAAATACGACAGTCAAGAAAGTCTTGCATCCAGATCTATGCGCATCAATTCATACCGGGGACAAAAGGCTGTGCCCCAATTAATACCATAACCCCAAAATTATTTATCTGTTCGGATTATGGGTATGCAACTCATCTTCAGTGGTGCAATTACTGGGTAAGGGCTCTACGTTTGTGCTTTTTTGTTTATTTATAATTTATGTATAAGAAATGATAGATATATTTATTATCTGTTTTATATATCTGCAGCCAGATTGTTGGGATAGTTATGATTTTGAGGGCACTACATTTGAATGCCTCAACAAGTCTGCAAGAGTTGGTCAGTTGGCAGCCAGCTTTGAAGATGGAACTCTTCGAATTTTTTCTATTTCTATTTCTGACTGGGAAATGCCTCCGACATTTTCGCCTGGATCAAAGTCAATGAGGTGACCTTTATATATCTAAATGGACATTTTATATTATACAAATCTATATATTTACATGCATTGATATTTTGCCTTTACTTTTCATTAACACTAAATTATAGAATTCCTGTGTATAAGAAAACGGCTGAGGTGTGTTTGCAGATGGATTCTGTGTATTCCAATGCTGGTCAAATCTGCAAATTTGAGTGGCATAATGACAACAAGTAAATAATCAAATACATTGCCATAATATCCTATGGCATTGGACAGCTGCATAATATTTTATAATTTTTATTGTATTTGTGTTCAGTCTTGTAGCGGTAGCATATTCTGGCGGAGTAGTAGCAGTGTTTGACGTTACTACGACTTCACCCCTTCTTATGGAAACTGTCAATGACGATTCCCAAACGACGACAACAATTATAAATCCATTCTGGTGTTTCCAAGCTCATTTGGGTCCAGTGACGGGAATATGTTTCGATCCAATGTCATCACGATTCTTTGTGACTGGTTCGAAAGACAGGCACATGAAGCTGTGGGATTTGCATTTACGACAAGAATTAGAAAGTCGTAAAGTGGGTCTAATCCACGATATTTGTTGGGTACGAGGTTGGATCAATTTGGCTGTCGCAGTAGATGCTGCTATTTCGTGAGTATATAATTATTTGTTTCTAAATGCTGTAACAGTTAGCAATAACATAACTTGATTCTATTATGTTTAATTTAGAAATTTGTCGTCGCAATACAATTTTGTGAGATTTTATCAATTAGGAACGAGCCAACAAAGGCCAAATTGTGCAGAATTCATGGATATCTCTGTAAGCCATCTCGAAAAATAAATAATTAATTCAATAAGTTGTATAGTACTGAGTCAGTACTACTGACTAACATAAAACGTGTTGGGTTTGTTACGAGTGTCTTTTTTTTGTTCTAGAGCCTTACTTTCCATGAAGGAATAACGATCCAGGGCACAGAAAGTGGCAACATTACTGCAACGTACTTTGACAATTTTTGGAGGGAAATGGATTATGACAGGAACAAAAAGAAACATAATGTGGTGCGTAAATTATTAATATTGATAAGTCACAGTTAGTTGTGCTTAAAAGTAGATAATAGTCACAGGGTACAATTATTTACTTTGCCTTTCAGGTCAATCTTTGCAAGGTTAGTGCAGATCCTTCGAGTTTTGAGATTCTATCGAAAGACTATTGTCTCGAAGGCGATGCAAAAAATATAAAACTTCAGTTCAACTTTAAAGAAGAGACTCCCCAAATAATTCTATCCTTTATGAATGAACGGGTATGTATGTATCATCGCATATATCGATTGAGAATGGCAATATTATCCAAATCAAAGTGTATTTAGTAATCTCATTTTTTGCATTTCTGCAGGTGAAATCAATCCTTCCTGATGCTAAGCCTCAATTTTTTGAGGATTATGTTCGATTTCTACCTTTCTTAAGGATTAATAAGGTGTGTGTGTGCTATTTTAAAATTAATTTATGAATGATTAATACTCAATAAATGTTTTCCCACTTATCCAGGTGACTTGGTGCCCTGCAGGTAGCTGTTTTACTACAGGCTACCGAAATGGACTTTTAACTATAATTCCTGCATCATTCGACTTATTATATAGCTAGCTGTACTATGCTGCTACATTATACAAATACACGTTTATTAATTTTTGTAAAATTTTAACTTTGACGAGTTGAGAATATATTTTATATCCGGACCGACCTATAAACCATTTGAAATCGTCCCCCGGCTCTATAAAAGTCTCCGGACCACACCAAAATTACCAATCCCCACGGACTCGATATAACGGGAGCATCTTCTGGCAGTTGTTCCTCATAGAATCTTGCGCCAAGCTTTAACTTTCCATCTTCTTCAATAGTGCAGACCAAAAGGGTAGAGTTATTTTTTCCGAAGCATGGGCCCGAATCAAGTTCTTCATCGCCACACTGATCCAGTCGCAGCGTTTGAAACTCTATCTCAAGTTCATAGCCTTTTGTATTGTTTCCTTTTGGAAAGACGTGAGTGGCTACTTCTTCGGTGAAAAACCCAGAGGCATAATACGGCAGTGGGTCAACGCTGGGCTTGCCCCAAGAATAAGCTGTTGTCCGAACTCCCATGTGGTCCAACCTGTCACCGCTCGCTGGAACAATACGGCACGTTAGTTTTCCAATAGTGACAACATATTGTTGGGACACATAGTCTCGTTGTGTACACTTACGGGCCCAATTCACTTGAAAACCTGACATATTTTTCAGTAAAGTTGTTTTCCACACAATAATGAAAACCGTTCCTGGCACGGCTCGCCATTGTTGAGGACCTCCACAATTCCACCTTAAAATAAGTCAGAGACTTTGCTCTACACATCTGCACATCTCTATGTCGTCTTAAAGGCAAACCCACGTTTCCACTGCGGTGACGTCTTGCGCCCACAGACTGAAGTGGCTCACAGCGACCCTTGTGGTACTAGCGTCACAGGCATAGCCGTTGAGTTGTTGGATGGTGATGTCATAGCGAGAATATTGTGAAGCGAGTGATCCACTTACAGTCCATGCGCAAACCTGAAACGAGGGGGGGGGAAGTAGTTTCCGTTAGAAGATTAAAAAAATAACTAGGCTTAGTTAAATTATTTCCGAGTGAAATCGACTAACATGTTCAGTGTCCGTGGTCGTTTCGTTGTACTTGAATTGGATGGAGCCTGTGACGGACTTGAACCACCCACCACATATATCTGAATCAAAATATCAGAATTGGAACAAATGCAGTTGAAGTGACTTTAGCTCGTAATTTTGACAATTTAAATTAAATGTTTTAAATTAAATTATAATCCATTTTATATATGATTTGACTTCCTTCCATCCTCGCATTGTTATGTTGTCGTGTGATTTGCGGTATGACGACTTGATGTTCAAAACTACTATTTTTTAGTAAATAGTTTTGTTTATTAGAACCAAGCTTTCAACAATTGTACATTGTCTTCATCAGGGTTCCATTTTATATTTATATGTATTATTCGAGTGAAAACATCGTCACAAAAAAATGCTTACGATTAGGTGTCTCGTACTGGCCATTGGTGAAAGTTGTGGTAAAAGTCAGTAGTGTCACAACAGCACAAATGAAATTGTTAAGTAATGCCATTTCCAGTCAAAATCAAAGGCAAGTTGCACAGAATCTCTACTGTCGTATGTATGTGCCATGTACAAGGTTACAAGGGTCTTTTATATGTTTTATATGCAGCTAATCTACTTTTTTCATGCATATGACATATCGTACATGCATGAAATCTTCAATACAAACAGGGTGCACACTTAAAATGAGTGAAAGCACATAAATAATAGGATGATAACATGATCATGATAATTAGTAGTAAAATATATCCTAATTTTAAATATTTGAGTATCTGAAGAGTATATACATACATACGTAATTAATGTCAGACTTGACTGACTCAAGTCCACTTTTATTTCAACAGTTCAACAAGCATGAGAACTTACATCTGAGAGTAATTGTTTGATTTGATTACATAATATCATAAAGTCAAGTGTTATCTTAATAAAGTCTGTTTGTAGTAGGAATGAATTATTAACTAATGAAATAGATTGATAATACAATGAATATTGTGTTGGACACCTGGACAGCTGTCGAAGCTGATAATGAGTCTGACCATCTGTATGTGGTGTCAGCAGGTCGGGTTGACGATACATTTATGTCGGGGTTATAAACCAGTGTTGAAATTGAATTTGGTAACAGTTCCATGTTAATGAATCCCTGCTGGTTCCTAATTCCGCTGTCATTAATTATTGTAATTTTCTTGACGGTATTCACTCTGGGGTCAACAAAAGTCATGCATTATTAACACGTTATCCTTAGTAATGAAGAGAGAAATATACATGATGTCGGTATTAATTAAGTACTTACCGATTCAAGAGAATCACTGAGACCATCCCATCCGGTCTCAAACATGAAAGGATTTCGACCCCAGCAAAAGCAGTACTGTTATCTTTTGAATGACGAATGCGTATAGAATTTTCAGGGATAAATTTTGAAAAGTGCCCCAGTGCGTAATAAATTGGCTGCTTGTAAATTAGGTTTAGGTCCCTATCCACAATAAGTAGATATTATATCATAAAAAACATTTATAAATCGGTTAGGTTATTAGTACTTATCGCTAATAATTGGAGCATCCACAAAGTTTTCAGCCCAGTTCGGACCACCAGACAAATCAAGGACTAAATTCCAGTCAATCCATCCGGCTACAAAATTATTCATGTCTGAAATGATGTCAGAAGCATAATTTACAGCCCTTTCCCAGCTGCCTAAGATAACATCTGGACCTTGAAGTGGCATTGCTCCAGCACATGCTACATAGAAAATATTAGTTTATCGGGTCATATATTTTTCAGGAAATATATATTGTGGTGTTCAGTTCACCCTCCGTCGCGAGGAGAAAGTAATCTGGAAAATTGTAATGTGTCGTGGATAAGATATCCGGTGGAACAAAGCTGTCAGTGTACCAGTGCACCCCAATTCCTGAAATGTATTTAGCTGCGTCTGCGTCACTGAGAATCTACAAATCCATAGTATAATATGCATGTACATATACCTACGTATTTATTAGCAGAAATAATGTAATTTTAACCGTCAAATGAAGTATTCCAAACTTGTGCGCACAATACCTCTTCAGTGTAATTCTTTAAATGTAGTCGTTGGTCATCAAACATGATAACTTTGATATCTTTAAATTTCGACGCGTCTAGCGTTGGACCCAAGTGCATCTTTATCCAATCCCGTTGTTCATCAGCAGTCCAACCCATGCAATTAAATCCCATGTCAAATACGATCCCATGAAGTGGTTCATTTTGTGTTGATATTGCCCAAAAGGTTAAATTTTGCTTGTCATATTCTTGCAAAAACTTGACGAAGTAGTTTGCCCATACTTGATAATATTCCGGTTTTAGTTTACCTTTCCCGATGTAGGCATTATTGTTTTTCATCCATGGTGGTGCTGTCCACACGGATGCAAAGAGTTTTAAATCTGGTTTTCGCTTCAAGGCTTCTTTAATGTACGGAATCTATGTAAGGCTCATGTATTAGATCATAACTATTTATATTTATGTATGCATTAAATATTTTTACAACTGAAAAAGTTACTTATAATTAATTTGCTCACTTTGAGATTAAAATCATCACTCGTTAAAGCAAAGCTTGCCAATTCAGTGTCGTTTTCGACCTCGGCGTAAGTGTAGGCACGATCGCTGAAATCAGCTCCACCCATGGGCACCCTCCCAATGTTGTACTCGAGACCACTTTCTCCAAAGTACTGACTACATATATTTAGCACGAAGCATTAAGACAATTATTTATACGAACGAATACTGTACGAAATGATGGAAAAAGCAGTATGCATACTCTATAATAAGTTGCTGAAGGTTTTGATCATGATGTCCGATATTTATTCCAGTAGCGTCAGTAAAAGCACCACCGAATCCAACGATTTTTTGGTAATGTTTCCCCCCACTGTACACTGTTACTTTGAGGTCATTTCCTTGTAGATAATAGATAAAAATACTTAGATACATACATACATTTGAAGATTACTTATTTTGAATATTGTCAAATCTTTGCAAGTTGAATCCTTACCCGAATCGTCAGTCCATTCGATTGAATTAGGAGCAGTTCGCAGAAACCGAAGTCCATTTTTTGTTGTTGCATAAGTCACAAATGTTCCTCCATCCAGAGTATTTAAATGATCCAATGTGTCACAATATGATGAATTGCAAACACAAACTACGCTACTTTCACCAAAGCTTTCAGGAATGCATTCTAAAGCCACATTTTGACCTACAAAGAGACCAAACAAAATGGCCAAAACATGTCCAGCAGAGCCAAGAAAATTCATGACTCTACTCTGCAAAATATTATTGCGTACAAAATAGTTTATGATAATAGAAGCTCTCAATTAATGTGGTGATAAATTACAAGAATTTGTCACAGTAGAGCATGTTATCAGCGATGATGACATATGCATTGTGCTTATCACTTTGAGTGAAAACATCATTCGCTTCTTCCCATATTTATTTTGACATTCAAACCGTTGGTGTGCATTGATACATGTAATGCAATTATCTGTACATGCTCAATTGGTTCGTACTAAAAATAATTCAAGGACACTTTAGGTGATCTAGAAGGTGCATATAAATATATTCATGAATGTTGGTATTGTATAACGTCTTGATTTATTAAAAACTGTATGGTATATTTATGGCATCGTCTGGATAAAACACACAATAATCACATTGACACGAACTTATATGGTTTGGAGACGTTGAAGAATTTTCAATTCTCAAATCGAATTTCTCAATTTAAAGTTGGGAATTTTTAAATCATGCAACATCAATTGTTATATAAATGTGAACGAACAACAAAAGTACATCATTTTGAATGTAAGGCAAATTGTGGCTTATTTTTAACTTTTGAGGAATTGCATAGGTTTCATGAAAAAACATTTTTACAGTTTATAGCATGTAGTTAAAGATTGATGGAGCATTTATATAGTGAGTTGGTTCCAATTACTATTCATTGCATACGGTCATGGATAACGAACTGGCTTTTATAATAGTAATAATAATTAATATATCTAAGTCTACGGTAAACAATAAATTAGTTTGGTTGTTAGTTTTGAACATTTCAACAGAGTTTTCAAGCAGTAGCGACGCCAAGGTAATGTTTCTTTTCTACGATATATATATATGCTGGACTAGATGTGAATGGAATGCGTAAATATTTTTCAAACATATTTTTGTATCCCTTTGGATTAAAATTTATAAAATTAAAATAATTTGTCTTTCTTGTAGCTGCACATATTTATCACTCAGCAGTCTCTCCACAATATGCGGTCACTACCATTCTTTGTTAGAAGCTCATAATATATTTGCAACGATCGACTATAATTTAATATACATAAATGATATGGACGTATGTACATACATATATATGTATGTATGTATCTTGGCACAAGCAAATCATTTAAGTAATGCAATTTGTGTCTCGCATCGTACTTGCATAGATTTCCAAAATAAGCTTCTATTATAGGTGCCTAGTATGTATTCAGGCTAGTTTTATAGCTGCGATTTAATTTGACACCAGTACGTACTAAACATTTAGTCGGTGTATAAGATTTTTCTACTCTAAATAAGGTTGAAGAAGACATTGTATTAACATTAATATTCATGCGAAATGGAAACTGTCATAATTTCTACTACTGCTACTCAAATATTGCATTTGTAATGATGAGTCAGCTACTCTACAGTGTCACTTCAACATGAGAGTGCTGGCTAAGGTATTATAAGGGAACGGGCCCTACGTCGTCAGCCCGTCGTCGTAGGAGAATCGGATGATTTTTGGCTTCCGTAGCCTGAACTTTCCTCCTCCATTACCGTAGTCATTAGGCTAGTCCACTTGGAAGTGTGTGGGGTGGCGTTATTGCTTGCAGTATTGGTACATCCTCCTTCAATTTAATTATACATTTGATTGTAAATGCTAAATTTGCTAAGCTCAAAATACGTATTTATTTTAATATACAAATATCAATGTATCTAATTACCTAAGCTGAGGGAACTTGGCCTTTGAGTTTGCGGACTTTGCTGTTGCTGCTGGGATGATGGGCTTGTTACTGTTGATGTTGGAGGGCTTGTGAAAGCGGAAAGGTTTCTCAAACTCTCTGATCGAATAGGTCTCGTACGACGGATAGAATTCACTACATTGTTCCGTTCTCCAATCGATGAATTAATCATTCCAGCAGGACTTTGAGAATGGGTTGAAAGCCCAATTCCTCCATTACTGATTTGGGAAAATTTCGAATGGCCACCCACTAAATTATTTGAGCTTGGGCTGGGACCAATAAACAACTGTGATATGTTTGGAACGGACAATGTTTTCCTCATCAGTCCTCCAGCAGATGAGGACGGAGCACCATTCTGTTGCTGATGGAAGCTCTTATTCATGGAATTCCTTGGTCGACTTTTCATTTGTTCTTCTCGTAGATGGACCGATTGACGCATACGATCCAAATTCAAAATAGAATCCACTGCTGATATAGATCTCAAGTACTCTTCTACGAATTTAATAAAAATTGTATTTACTTATTTTTTATCTAGGGTTCTGAACATCAACTTTTTAAGAATTAATTAATTACCGATATATGACTCTCCATGAGATACTGCCAAAACTGCAAGCGATTCCCGTGTTTCTAATTGTTCAGAAGACTTTGGGAGATGACTCACAATTTGATATGTAATTCCAGTCCTTTTCTTTGTCCGCTCCTGTTCGTCGACAGGGCCTTTTACAGAAAATCTTGCTTTAAGACGTTCGGCAAAAGAAGCTCTGAAAATCAAAGATGAGGAATAAACAATTGTGCAAGACATATTTCAAAAACAATTTGGTTAACAATGCAAATTATTTACAAAAAAAACATTATCAACCAAGATATTTTGTACCTATTTCTTTTCACAACAAGACATATCCTTTTTCTAAGAATGCATTCCATTTGCACGGGATGGCTAAAGCGAAGAGCAATTCTTAGTATGACATAAATAACTTCCCCTTGTGGCGTAGGTTTATTGAGTTGAGAACAGTCATGGACAGAACTATAAACACAGAATAACATGACAAATGAAATAAAATGATGCTAGTGAATATTTAGGTAATAATTAACGAAAATTTTATCCTTACGGTTCCACCATAGACACCATTGCCCAACTTTCAGTAGACATTCTAAACCAATTAAATTAAATTACACCCTGCTCTTATTTGTAGGAAAAGTTTTGGTTTGCATACTTACCTCTGATCGCTCCTGTAAAATAAACGACGCAAATAATTAATTTATATCAAAGGTCATTAACCTTTTTTCATCTCTTTTCTCCACTTTTCACACTAATCGGCATAACTCACTCAACTCTCGTCTTATTCTCACTCAGTTTTCCATCAATTATTATTATTCGAAATGGATTTCTCCAATTGAGGATGACGACTTGTTTGGATTTTAATTAAATTTGAGTTCATCTAAACCATTTTACACTAAAATTATATACATATAAATCTTTGTTAGAGCTTGGTGCTGGGAGCAGATATGCAGTCCGGGGCTCATTTACATGTTTAATTAATTAATCGTTAATAAATACCGGGAAATGTTCAGGTGTCTGACACAGAGAAAAACGGTAAAATAATTTTTCATAAAACCTATCAGTACAGCTTTGCTTAGCCCGAACCAGGATTAGTAAACCCACGTTTGTCAGTAGTTTTCTATAAAATTATGTACTACTGCTTTACAGTAATTCTTGCAGTAAGTATTTAGCATCAATCCTTCGTGTTACTAGGCTCAAAATTCTAAAAATATTTACAATCCCTTACACTTTATTTAAATTTTAACTTACCAAGCCGAGTAAAAATCTCCGTAAGATTTCCGTATCATTGGAAGTGCTACAAAAGGAGCTTCATGTTCTTTGGAAATAAAATTATGTCAATTGTTACTATATATAAATAAGGGTATTGACAATTAATAAACGTGCGTGCACCTTTTGGTAATAGTGAATTTAATCCAGCCGTTAGTCCTGTCGCAATGGGTGGGGAATGGGGACTGGAGTCTGCAGATAATACATCCTCTGGAAAAGAAAAAAAGAAGTGGAAAAATTTAGCTCGGTATTATGAGAATCAAAACAACTACGGGAAAGTATTTCATTACCTGGAATATCCAAAAACACGATAGGCATGTGCAATTCAATTCCCATCTGTCATAATTAACATATTGACATTAACTAACATACTGATTATAGCTGTTTTTCAGCCTATGATAAGAATTGAAATACCTCTGGTTTAAAGTTTGAATTGGTGGGTGCGCCTGGGACGCAAGAATCTGGACTTGGGACTGCATTTAGAAAGTACAAGTCATACATAAATTTATCGATCACATAAATAAGAGTACCAACCCAAAACCGCATTTCTCTCTTCTGTCAGCATCAGCCACTGTGCTACCAACGACTTTTCCCTTTCCACATCCTCAGAAGTTTTATCGTGCTTTCTCGCCAAATCTTGCAAGTGAGAATCCAAGTACTCTCTTCGCCTTTTTAATGCCTCTCCCCACCTATTAGTTTGTAAAGAAATGTAAATTCACATTGAAACCAAACTTTAAAAAATAATTTTCTATGGCGCTTCAGCACTAACCGTTCCCGAAGCAAAGTCAAGTCTTCTTCTTGATACGAGTCCAGGGGCCGTTGAAGAGTAGTTGATCGTGGAGTTATAGCACCCATAGACACTTGGTCAATTTCATCACAGACTATTAAAATAATAAATCAATAAACCAGTTAGTGTTTTGAATATTTTTACTTCACGATTATGTGGTAAACTAAACGTTGCTTGCTTACCAATGGGAAGCTGCCCAATTGTTGCATTCGTCTCAACGCTTATCAAAATTCTTCTCTGCAATCCTTGTTTTAATTGATGCACTCCTTTGACAAAGAAAGCACATGCAAGGTTTTAGGTTAGTAATTATTTATGTAAGTAATGTTCTGATATCCATTTACCCAAATACTAAATTCGAGCGTTTCTAGTGTATTTTAATTATATTTTAATTATTTCTAATACTTCTCACCTCCAGTTCCACAAGCTGCCGTGTAGTCAACGTCGACTGGCATGTATTCCCCATTTTCATTCAATTCCTGTCAAAATAAAGAAAAATGCTTATATACTTCGCCACATAACGCTTCGTCTTATACATAGATGCGCGGACTCGGACTCGGTGCCGTCCAGTGTAAGTCCATGTGGCCGAGTGTCTGTAGACACGGTGCCAGTGCCACTGATTTTGTCCGCGTGTCGTGGACAAAGTGTCAGTGTCTAGGTCAAACGCGCATCTATGGTCTTATATAACCTTAATTTCTAGATACTCACGAACCTGAATTTCCACCCACAGTTTCATTTGTGATGTGACATCCTTCCATCTGTCGGTAACACTGTTGTTATTCGTTTCGTTATTTGTGGAAGACTGATTATTTTCTAAAGAATGGGACGTAATTTGATTGCCCCTGTGTCCCCACACTTCAAAGGACAAAGCTGATTCGGAGCAATAATCAATAAACTCTTCAGAGATGGGGATTGTAAAATAGCGTGTGTGATCAAATCTCACAACAGTTGTCGACTCCACAGGGGGACAGACCACAATGTTATCACAAAAAACATACTGTAAATTAGTAATGATAAAGATTCATAAACACAAATGTAATAGTATTCCTGTAATAGTATTCATATCAAACTACAAACGGAGGCGGATTTTTGGTTCGGTCGTGTAAATAATGAAATAAAGTACCTGGCAAAATACATAATGTGAATGGGAACTTGAAACTCCAGCCAAGTGACGCACAGTTACTCGAACGGTTATAGTTTTTTGTTCAGGTTCCACATCATCCACGTCATCATCATAATCTTCGTAAAGAGATGCATCTCCTTTGCTCGTGTTCATACTAGAGTTTCTAGAGTTTATATCATCGATTTGCCCGGAAATTTTTGTAATTTCTACGTGTAGTCGCCCAACAATTTCTCCTGAAAAGAAATAAAATAGTTAGATGGGGTGTGATTGGGGCTTTCACCACGTCGGTGAAAGTGTAGAACAGTTCCAAAATTGAGACGAGGATGGATTTCGTGACCATTCTTGACGGGGTTTTCCTAAGCTGCAAACGTTGACCCCAACCCAAATGAAACGAAAAATTGGTAGACAAATTGACGAAAACGGAACATTGAGTTTTGACGAATCTACCCTATTTCAGATTTTATAGAACAAACTGGTTACAAACCAAGAAAAGGACAAAAGCCCCAAAGCAGGTTGACTCAGAAGAAAGTAATGTGGGTGAAATGAAGTGATGGGAACGAAGACGAAATTGATGAAGAAATAGAAAGTGATGAAAATGAGGAGAATTAGATGAGAGAAGATGAACCAGCATAGTTAGAAATCTCCAATTTTAACCATTAACACATTACTCGTATTCTGCTTAGTCCCCCAGAAGTGATAACAACATCGGGAATTCATGACAAACACAAACAGAAGAAGAATAGAAAAAGTTAGTCAAAGTCGATACCTTGTTGGGAAATTACCGGAACCGGATATTTCAGAGTGACGTCATCGTAAAATAACGCCTGAAACGAGAGAGTGTAGGAAATTATATTGTAAAGCTTAATTATGTCATGTATTAGAACAATATTTTAATAATATTCCAATTTCTTAAATCTACCTGCAAAAATACATTTGCAATTCCAAGAAGAACGTGTGGCTGGTCTGGCTCAAAAAACGATGCTGGAGGATCCATCTCACAAAAACTATCAGGTTGATCAAAATCTTGTTGTTGTATGCAAAACTCTTCGTAAAGTTCTCTCATATCCACTAAGCGATTGTGAAGCTGTGAACAAAGCAAGTGTTGATAACTTTATGTAGTAAACCATTATCGTCAACTGACAGCTATAATTCAACCAACCTTTTCCATGGACCATATTTGATGGTAATGTCCTTCTTTTTCAACTTTGATGGACGGTTCTGTGATCTGAATCAAAAAACTTTATCAATCTCAAAAATCTAAAAACCCATTAAATCATTAAACTTACAAGAGCTCCTTTTGGACGATTTGGTGTGATATTTAGAGGAGGAATTAAAAGTGTTACGCTATACTTGACATCAATTTTCATAGCACTCGCAATTTCATTGGCTTCGCGAACCATGTGGTTTGCCCTTAGTAGAAATTCTTTGAGTAATTTAAGTCCTTCTGCCATTTTCGAATTTCTGGCCGTCGCAATTTGAACACTATTTTGTTGTTGCATATGTTGCTGTTGTTGGATATAGCTTTGAGCGTCTCCTGCCCAAGGTAGGGCAGGAGGCATAGAAGTCGTGGGGCTAAGGACGTGCATAAGTGCATTAAACTGTCTTTCTAGCGTCATTGTCAGTTCTTGCCTCTGTTTTTCTAGAGCTACTTCTTTGTCCTATTATATATCGACCATTAGTTAGTATTTATCTAGGTATAAATTATTTCTTTATGCTACCTTTTGATGTTTCGACTCTAATTTTGCAACAGCTTCATGCAACGGATCACTAGTAACAAGCTGTTTCATGTAAAACTCTGACGATGCTTGTTCATAGCCCGACGACGAATCATCGATTCCATCCATAATAGACATGACATCTGTATAATTCATACAAATAACATATATGCACAACCAACCACATGTGTTTAAAGTACAGCAATTATTATAGTATATTCAGTAATTAATTTGTATGTATCAATTTTATATTTTCTCCATAAGATTACTAGACGTGTAAGATGTTAAGGTTGAAATGATCAAAGTTAAAAGTTATGACTTACTGGACGTGTTTTGGGTTGTCCTAGCTGGGCTATTCAACCTAAAAAAGTGATGGTTCCCCCAAAGAATCCTATCGCCATGATGTAATAGCTTTCTCTTCTCCACTTTCTCCCCATTGACACACGTGAGGGCCATAGGATAAGGGATGAGGTGAAGGCTCTGATCAGGTTCCACTATGAGCTCACAGTGTAGTGGAGATATTCCGAGGCCGGTTAGTTGGATATCCGGTGGACCATCCCCATCCGGCCTTCCCACCAATGTCCGATCTTCTTTGAGATAATATACTAGCATCTCATTTAGAGCAGGATCGGCATTTAAATTCACTAAATAAAACCGATCAGTTTCCACCTAAGATGAAAGCATCGCAAATAATAAATAATTTATATTAATAAATATTTTTTACTAAGGAAAGCGTAGGAATTAACCGAAATTCACTAACCGAAATTCCAGACACTGAAATTCCCATTTTCTCCAAAGCAGCTTGTCTTTCTTGTGAGGCTTGTTCTGATCTCTGAAGCCTATCTTCCCATGGTTCGCTCGCTTGTCTCATCAATTTCTTACTCTATATATATCGCATTTTGTACGAGAATTAGGATTGTCATAATGTGTTTGCTGGGTAAGCTTCACTATTTAAATATTAACTCATATTTTATAAGTTACCTGGTCCAATTTTTCATTAAGTACTGTGTCACTGACATGACTTTTTAGTAGTTCTCGCAACTGTTTAACTTCAGCTTGTAGCTCACGAATGAGCTTCGCTAGATTTTGGAATAATAATACAAATTTTCAAAATCTTTATTCCACAAAATTTTACGTTATCTTTATGGTGAAGTACTAGGAGTGGGAGTTTATTAAGTGAGTTTTTTATAGTAATAATTGATTTACTGTGCTGTTATTATAAACTGGATTAAATATTTTCCTTACCATTTGGATCTTCATTAACTACAGCATTATTAACAATTCGTTTCGCCCTGTGAAGCACAATTAAATGAACCCGTATTTATATTAGGTAGAATGTATGTAAAAAAAACTCGAGGTAAAATTTAGGCACTGACCTGTCTGCATAACGCAAAGTTGACAAAGTTTCCTCGTAATTATCTGGTGATGGGGACACTGTTGCAAGCATAATGGTTCTGTGGAGTACCAGAAATAAAGTTCAATAAATTATGCCAGTCTATGATAATGTATGAATCAGGATAACGATGCACCACTTAATACATACTCACCTGCTATTTCCTCCCAAATTATCCTTCAGGCTAAAAGGACATTTTTAGTGTATAATAAGTACGTTAATGTACTAGAATTGCGGAAAAGTTATCAAAGCACTTACAGCCATGTCAATACAGAATCTCTATAAGGAATGAATGTCTTGGAGTCTCTCACATTTCCAGCAGAACTAATACTTCCTTCTGCCAACTTTGATATCACAAGTCCCAAAGTGGTTAATGATTTGTTAATGTTACTTCCTTCAAACATAAAGGAATCATAGTTTGAAATATAAAAAACTCCCAAGTTTTCAACACAACCATGAGACCAACCAGTTTTGTAGCTGAGCTTATTTCTTACCTTCCTTTAGCCTTTCCCCAACCGCACCTGTTTTTGTAGCTCTTTCCGACCCAGCCAAATCTACTAGGCTAAGTTTACTAACTTTCTCCCCCGTCACACCGCTGGTCAACTGAATATAGAAAAAACAGAATGATGAGTACAAGCTAAATGAATTTCATATGTGGGCCGGCTCATGGGAAACCTAAATTTTTTTCCAATAACTAAACGTCTGTTTGAAAAAGAATTGTGCAAATTGCCTTGCTTGAGATACAAATGACCACATTGTACAGTAAGCGGAAGGACTCTCTCGTCAATCGGACACATGAGCCATTCCAATTTAGAACTTATTGTTAGTTTAGTTCATAATATTTACTTACATCAGTCATAGTTTGTGTCAAGACTATTGTAAACACGGCATGCGATCGAGAACTCTCAGAATTCATGTTGGTGGCCGCAATTGTTCTAGATTTATTCCCTTCTGCCATCAATGTTGAAACATCTTCAGCTGAAGTGACTGCCAGGATGGAAAGTCCATCAACGTATGGACCATATATAGAGTGTTCTCTCACTTTCAAAGATGTTTTGTTTGCCACCAATAAATCCCGAACTGATATGAAAGCAATTAAATAAACGCATGTTTGATTAATAAAATTAATATGTCGTTCAGTTACGTAAAAATAACATAATAAACATCTAAATAATCACGCTGCTGTTTATTTCTTACCTTTCTCGTTATAAATTTCCATGAATGAAACCTCCACTTTAAATATGTTGGGATTGCTCGAACTTTGAGGACCTTTGTTTGCGTTTTCACTTTCCTCCGCTATTTGATTAAACATTGCATCACATAGTCTTGGAATAACGCCCCTAAAGTCATAATTAAGGAATATTATATTTGGATGCTATATTTTGTGTCATAAAACAAGATTATTATGCACCGTTGCTCGGATGATCCCAACATAGTATAGCTTTTGCCACTTCCGGTTTGTCCATATGCAAATAGGCAGGCGTTATATCCCTCGAAAGCGCTGGACAAAAGGTCCCTCCCCAGATTAACAAACACTTCTTCCTGTACGCGGAAAAGAGAAGATTTTTGTATTTCATGTCACAATAAGCAAATACAAAGAAAGTAATGCTTTGGATGTTTTAATGAACTGATCTTTGTCTCCAATAAATAAATATTTACATTAAATACATACCTGATTCCCATCCATGTCAAAAACATGGTCAAATGTGAATGATTTTATATTACTTGGATTATTATTATTCAGAGAGGAGGATGGGTGTACCAAGGCGATTTGATTTGACTCTTGTTTCACCTGTGAAAAGGGTTCAACACATTATTTTATTACTAATTTACTTCAGTTGAGATTTAAATGATGAAATACATGAAAAGTAACCAAATTGTACCTGGAGGATGGTGACAGAACTGCCTCCAGAAGACAGGATGGCCTTTTCCCGAGCATTGAATGGCCTAACCCTCACCCCAACTTTCACTTTATCTTTCCCCATTTTAGTTACAGAGAGCTATATAATCTTAACTAATATGTAAAAGACTAACAGTCTCAATGAATTATTTCCTATCAAAGTTTAAATAATCTCGTAACTTTGCATAGAAGCACTCTTTTTTACTAGTCTTTCTTTTTTCAGTATACTGACTGTACAACAAATCCAAGTACTACCAATATTATAACCACGTTGGCGAATAAATTATTAGCTATTATATTTATACTTTTTGCCTGATAAAAATTTTAAAAAATCTAGGTATAATTTTATGTGAATTTTAATGTATACAAATGCAAACCATTGTTATACTTTCTGTTGTGACTACAAACATTGGCTATAGGCTCAACTGAAATTGTTGGCCAATGATTATTTAGTTTGGCTAATTGAAATACTAAATCAATTTTCTAAATACATTACTATTGAAGATGAAGATTTTTTTTGGCGAGAAAGCATACTTATATATTTTTATAACACCCTACATAGTAACCCTCCTAACTAAGCAAACACGATATTTAGTGTGGTTTGGTTTGCTTGCCCAAGTTTATCAATCTAATTATTTGTTGTGCAAATGTCAAGTAAAGTAACTGATGGTGGTGAGTGATTGATAGAGTGCTTTTACCTCTGCAATAAAACAAACACCTATTCCCGTACAAACACTAATTTTCCGCATTTACTTATTTGCGAGTCTATAAATGATAAATGAATCGATAGCAAAGTGTTATTACTTATTACGGGTGTGAGGAGTCTCTCGCCTTTTAGTCAACACTGTTTTTCTAAATAGATGGGGAACCTGTTCACGTAAATTAATGCATTTTTGATATCAAACCGACTATCAATTAAAGTGTTAAAGAACCGTTTCCCTCTGACTCGAGAAATTTATTTGCATGTTGGCACCAGCAGGTACCCCTGAACTGAACCCAATCAGAGAATAACAATACAATCCAGTTTAGTCACCAAACGGTGGCTCCGAACCGTGTTACAAACCAATACAGAGAGGATGGATGAGTAAGTTGGCTGGTGGTGAGTGATGGGAAATGAGTCGAGGTGTATGTAAAAAGAAATCACAACTTTCAGGAGGGAAGCTTCACTACTTGCCCCTCGATGTCCTTTGGATATGCTCTAGATGATGAGTGAACAAATACGGCACTTGCTCACTAATCAATGATGAGTGATCATTGAGTTGGAGATACTTGAAGTACCTCCAACTGGTTTTATTCTATGGCCACATTGCGTCCGCCACACCTACTCAAGGGGGTAAAACTTACGAAAATCATAAGCGCTCGGCAAAAATCCAATTTAGTTTGGATTTTGAAAATCCTTGCACCTTTGTAGTCCAAGATAGTTGTTTTACCATCAAGCGTAACAAGATTTTTGTAAATCAAGCTTGATGTGAATAAATCAATCAAAAACCATACAGACCTATCCAATAATTATCAAAGTCAATTTTTTGAAAATTTCCTTCGAAATTATCAAAGTTTCAAACAAGTTGAGCTTAATATTGAATTGATAAATCGACTATTTCGGAGTATTAATGGTGCAAGAATTTTCAAAATCCGAGTAAAATTGGATTTCTGGTATGGGTGGAGGGTTTGAACAAGTGGAAATAGGGCTGCTTTTTCTTGTTTTAGCCCCTTTGAATTGGTGGTGGTTCTGTGACGGTACAAATATGGCCATGGCTTATTCAAAGGGCATCGAGATTTGAGAGGGACAAGTAGTGAAGCTCTCCTCCTCATGAATGCGTTTTTATATAGTAGTATTATATAACCAACACCTAACACCTATTCAACCGAACACTTCTTCATTGTATTAGTCATTCCCATTACAAAGTGGAAGGTGCTTTTTTAGAGGATGGTCAACTCAAAGTTAGTCAAAGCTAGTGAGTCGCTTTCCATGTAAAATTGATAATTGACGAGGGATCTTATGTGCTCATAGCAAAAGTGAATAGCATGCTACAAAGTCAAAACGTGGCCGAGCTAAAAGACGATAGGAGGACGTGTACATGTGCGTGATAATGAGATGATAAAAAACATGGCAAGTAAGTAGTAAATAGCAACATGAGGCTTTCGTTAAAAACTCAAGCAGAGTAGATGAATTCGCCGTACTTGCAAAACACGCGTGCAGATCTGTTGTCCATGTAGTATATATATACTGATTGTGAGATGTATTTAAGAATCACTGCTAATTACAGACAACCCGTATTAGCAGACTGAAAATTCTTAAAGCAGTTTTAATTTAAATCACAATGCATATTTTCTAAACATAATTCACGCCTGTAATTGAACAGAGAGACATGACGTGCTGGGATGGCACAAGCAATAGAAGATAAATTAATGCTGAATCACGAATTAACAACTACTGCCTGCATATACATATACAAATAGATATATGTGCATCGGATATATTAAATGCATTTTGCTTGACAGATTTTCATAAAAGTATTGAATAATTATTAATTAGGAATTGATGGTGAATTAATTTTAGTTTTTGATTTTCCCTGTTGTTACATTTATCGTTGTTTCGGAATTTTAGTTTATTCTCAGTTTGTAGGTCACGTGATGACTTCCTATGCAACGAGATGCATAATAATTTTTACATTCCATATAGTCTTCTAGGACATCATTATCCCCATACTTTTAATCTGATACATAAAAGTTAATCTTATTTTAATTTCCTGCACTACACAAAAACGACTGTTAGGAATTAATTAATTCTTGACACACTCTACATTATATTACTTATATAGTTCTATTTTCGGGTCAACAATTGAACCGGCTTGGCGATTCACGATGATTGAATGATGTTGTGGTGTGTGTATAAGCTGACTCATTTATTGCTTAAGCTTCTCTGCAAAACAACAAACATACATAATGTGATTCACATTACATATAGTTGAATATGTAACTCATATTAATTACAATGTTGGTGAATCTGCTTACTTTTACTACTTCCGTAGAGTTTAAGTTTGACTGACAATTTGCCAAAGCCATTCCAACACCGATGCCTGTGCCTAATGTGACAGGCCAAATCCTTCCTGAAAGATGAAATTTATTATTATTTGTGAATATTAACTCAAAGTGTCCATATTGGCGAGTGTCATGCTCTTATTGTGCGTACGTTTGAACAGAATGAGTGACAAAGCTGCTCCAACAACGATTCCAGAACCTGACATTAAATATAAATGTAAGTTTAATTTGGAGTTTATCAGAATTTATGAATCTGATTACAACTTACTTTGGCAAACCAAATACGACAATGTTTAAAATACCAAGCTAGCAATTAATAATAATGCTATATAGTTTTTAAGTTAATACCTGCTTTAATGATCCCGTCAGCAACACATTTATCAATTGCTTGGGGAATTTGTTCTTCTGATCTCACCGGAGCCTTGGACATTGTTTTTTCGTCTGTTCTTATTTACAACGGCTCCAGCAGAAATCTACGTAAAGTAAATTTAACGAGTATAGTGATTATTGGGTATACAACTAAAATTTGCAAAAAGACCACAACTGAAAAACTCACCTTACTTTTCGAATGAAACTTTGACCGACACAAACCTACTGCTTGAATTTCGTGTTCTGATGTTTATTCCGTTCCGTGGGGAATTTGGCACATACATAACATGCGGATACTAATACGGAATCGTCTTGCCTGATATTCATAGTAAATTACTATTAGTAATTCATACACAACCAAGGTTGCTAGACAACTTCAGTAATAATTACAAGGTTACGACAATCGCTTCGACGACGAAAAAACTTTAATTTTCGAAAAGGCTGGTACCTTTTGGAACCAGTGTGCGCCGCACGATCTGTCGCCCAGAAACAAACCGCACAAAAATTGTCAACAATTTGAGACATTCAGGATTTCCTCACGCGATTTTTTACTTGACATTGAAGCAATTTTTTAGGTAATTTTACTACCATTTCGCCCCTTTGAATTACTTTGCAACCCATTATAATGGCAGTCATTTTGTCAATATATCGGCTGTTTCGGCGTTATAGCAGAAATTTGTGTGCTTGATAATTACCGTTAGCGACGGCCCCAAATAATTAGCTCTTCAAAAGTGAAGATTTTTTGGGCTCTCTAAGCAATTGTCGTAACCTTGTATTATGATAAAGTGTCAAGCAACCTTGATACACAACTTTGATGGGAGAAAGCATTATTTAAAATTTTTAAAATTTTAAAATGAATTTCACAAAAAATTAACCTAACAACGTGAGATGTAACAATTTTTGTCCCGTTAAAATATTCCTGTTATTAGGCATTATACAATTTGTATAATTTAATTATGTGCCAAATTATTTAGTCTCAAGTTACAAAAACCTTCGATCGATGTCAACATCTTAAACCCCCACTCACCATCTCATGCAGGACGAGTCGTCCTGCATATATCTCCGATGTTTCATGAATATATGTAGCCGTATAACCATCACAAAAAACCAGGGTGGGTTATGCAAAGAACCGTTAATTTAAATTTATGCTTTTCACTCAATTTTACATGTTTACTATTTTGCGTGAAGTGAGTGAGCAGAGTATACAAAGAAAATTTAAGGCTGGCAGACGTAAACTTGAGATGAGATTGTGTTAATTTAAATTTGGACAAACTAAACTCACATTCTTGTGTCTTAGCCCAAAAATTAGCGTTTTTTCTAACCAGTCAGCAGATTTTCGAATCCTACATTCTAATGCAAACTTGTTCCTCAAAATTGATTCATTTACCTTGATCCTAATTGCACGAGGAGATCCATAAATTATGTCACGCAAAAACCCCATTTTTTAGGACCCACCCTCCCCTATTGTCACGCTATTGTCACAATCACCGTACCCCCTCCCCCCCTCCTTGTCACGTCACGCCAAAATCTTAATTTTCCCAAAAGTCAAAATGAGACATTTGTTTCAACAAGAGCGAGTAATAATAGGGCGAGATATGGCAATGACCAGAATGAAAAACCACATCGTCTTGAAATTTCCAAACTTTTCTAAAGTTTTTTTTCGAAATTTCAAAATTGAAAAGCACATTTTGAAAATTTTATTGCATTTCTTAATTTTTTACGCATTTTTGGAATTATGCAATTGGTTTTAATTTGTACAAATTTTTAAAAAATTTCCATTGGAAACGTGATGTCACAAATCGACCACCCCCTCCCCCCCTATTTGTCACATTTTGTCACGGATACTAGGGACCCCTCCCCCCATATTCACCGTGACATAATTTATGGACCACCCCTAAGTGTGCTATACCTGTCTCAAGTCTCAATCCACCCCCATCTACAACCTGGGCAAATAGTATGTTGATAATTGTCCATAATAATAATTTTTAAATGTTATTGGAAGGGTACACGTAAAAAATTTAGATTCCCTTTAAAATAAAAAATGAGTAAAGTAAAAGCTGTCAAAAGCCCTGCTGTTGAAAGGCGTAAAAAATTACGCGGAGTTTTAGACACGCGTGTCTAGCCTATCCGGTCCAACAAATTCATTTATTAATATAATAGTTTAACATGACATAGTTTAACAAGTGCTCTTAAATCCAATTAATAATAAGTTTCTCGTAAACCTTCTTCTGAACACCCTCTTTTTTCATCTTGTCGGTATCTAAAACCTGTCGCTTCTTCTCCCCAGCCCCTACAGTCTTATATATCGGCACCATAAAATCCACCTCTGTCGGAACAGTTTTGAGCTTATCTTTCTTTACAACAATATCTTTACCCGTTATCATGACAAAAAAATCTTTAAAAATATCTTCATCCCAGCCATGATCGAAATGGGTGAACTTTTCAGCTAAATTGTAAACATCGTGACCACCGACTGTCTTCATTCCCAACATGTTAGCGACGAGAACCCCCTTGTGGCCTAACGTTGTTTAACGCTAAAATTTTGTTCACGTCATCCAAGTTTCCAGACTTTGTACACATGTCACAATTTATGAGTTTGATCTGCTCTGCTGGTTTTGTAGCGACAGAGTTGTGAAATGACACCATGAGAGACATTAGAATCTGGGGGGGGAACAAAATGTTATATTTATTTAATAATTGAATTGAGGAATTTTTCAGAAATATCACATACCTCTAAAGTTTGAAACTTCGTCGTGCTTTCCATGGTGAGATTTTCCCAACGTTTCTCTATTACAAACCACGCATTAGGAAATTTGTCGAGGTATTGGCCGAATGCCCGACCATCGTAATGCGCTCCTCGTAGACATAAATTTAATCCGAGATCAGTGAACCTTTCCTTCCTCAATTCCGGCTGAACGAAGGCCATGTTCACCTTGTCCAAATTGGCCACGTCCCTAATCATCAAAATCTCCCTTTTCACTGTGTTGTGCTTGTAGCAATGTCCTTCCAACTATAAATATTATAATTTTATAATTAGAGATGATTCCAACAAAACAATGACAAAATAATGACATACATGAGTCCTCTCAGGACAATTTTCCACCCTGCATTTGGATCCGACAGAGGTATTCCACACAAGTTTCTCTCCCCCCTTCTTGACTTTATAAAACAATCTCCCCCCAACATACTTCACTCCCACTGGTTGATTGTCGTGAAGAAACGTTACACCGGGTGGAGACGCCGCTTTCCATGGGTCACTCTTCTCAAACTTTTTGAAATGTTTATTCCACAATTCCATGAGATCCTTGTACTCGGCAGTTGACTCGACAGTATCGAAGGTGAACTCAATCAAGGGATATTTCTCCTGGAGGTGGTTAAAAATTGTCATTCGTACTGTGAAGAGGGGAGATTGGGTGTGTCGGCTCGGTGTGGGCAAAATAGCGGATGAGGAGGGGGTGGGTGGACCTACAATTACTTGTATATATTAATTTGAGGAATTGCATACTCAGAAGAGGATGAGGAAAACAACCATTACCCTCGCTAAACAAATTCTCAAACTCTTCCTGCGAGTTGAGAAATCCAACCTCATCGTCATCACTCAAAATGACCCTGCTTCTCCAATCAACCGAAGTTTCCCGTTGTGGTGGGGTGACCTTGATGGAAGGTTTTGCTTTCTTCACGGGGGGTTGTTCTGCTGGCGAGGGAGGAGGAGAGTCAACGGTGCTGCTGGCACAGGCAGTAGTACTTGAGGTCGAGGGGGTGGAGCTTAGCCGAATCACGAATTTATCCATAATTAAAACTGACTACTATGAAACTAACTAAGTTTATATTTTTATGTGGAGAGATAAAATAAGAAACTCCAACAATGTGATTGAGGATGAAAATGTGGAGTTTGTATGAAGTGGGAAAACAGTGAAAGCGGGGTGACTTGACAGTAATAATGATTTATTTTAATCAGTCTGAAAAACGCCATGCAACGTACGCCAAAAGCACCGACACCTACCAAAGAACCAAAAGAGGAACTAGAACGTCACACACCCGCACTGATGTCCGAGTGGTTAAGGAGTTGGACTCGAAATCCAATGGGTTTTCCCGCACAGGTTCGAATCCTGTTCAGTGCGACTTTTTTGCTCATTTTTCATGCCTCTCCACAATTTTAGACCTTTCAACGCCCGGAATAAAACATGCTCATATCCTTTTGAGCAATGTATGAAAACAACATCATATCATCTACTAGATAAAGCACTATTTATTTCATTAAACCCTAGATAATAATAATAACAACGATAAACATCAACTACAGATTTATTTAGTATGATTTTATACATTATGCTTAGCTTAACTCTTAAACAACTTTATGGGTGTACGTCATACGTCACAATTGCAACGACATAACTGTCCGATAAATAAGATTTTTTAGTTGTATTTCAAATATTTCAAGTTGTTGAAGCTAGTAAAGTGAAAATAAAATGTAAAATACTTTTTTCACGAGAAGGGGACGATCCAAAAAGAAACGACTCAATGGTAAGTTTACCCGGCCGAAACCAAAAAGAGAACTATTATAAATAGAAAACAATTTTGATACAGAAAATTTAAGACAACAATTAATTATATTTTCACGACTTATTTCTAATTTACAGTTTAACAAGTAAACAGACTTGAGTGTTAGCTCTAGTCGTATTAGTTATTAGCTACTACACTAAATTGAATAATTAAAAATCGTCCGGTTCTGCCGGTGCATCTAAGTCCCGATAGCTCACGATTCCACGATTTCCTGGGTCTCGTCCACTATACATTATTACATACTTTAGGCCCCAAAAAATTAAGTGTTCCATTCTATACTAGTGCTTACCCCATACGAAATGGTCGTCCTCCACGAGGTGGTCCATAATCACGGAATTGAGGTCCGCCACCTCCTCCGTAAGGGCGTGGCCCACCATAACCACCTCCGCCATAATTTCCTTGACCTCCCATCATCCCATAACCACCGCCGCTTCCATACCTAATAAAACATGAATAAATTATTAACTTTAACTAGACACTAATTTGTTAACTAATCTTAAGAGAACAAGGTATTTAACTTACGAGCTGCCATATTGTGGGCCGGGAGGGTAATCCCGTTCCGGCATCGGCTCTCGTCGAGGAGGAGGAGGTCGTTCTTGTAGAGCCTGCCTAGCGGCTGCTTCGGGTGACTGTGGTCGCTTTGGATCACGTAAATAATTGTTGAAAAATATTACCTATGTAAATTCATTTCGTTATCACAAGAAATTAGCCAGTTGAAATGCATGTTTTTGTAATATTAGCCCGCAGCCAATAAACATATATATGTTACTATAACTTGCCTCCTTCTTTACTTCTTCTAGTTTGTCTCCGTGCTTATTTAAGATATGCTTTCGCACAAATTCGGGACCTTTAAATTTTTTGCCAGACAATGGACATAACCATTTCTCTTTGCCTAACTCTTGAGTGTTTGCAGTTATAAACTTTTCAGTTTCAGTTTCATCTTCCTTTGTCCCAAGCAGTTTGCACTCTTCGTCTGTCAACAGAACTATGGGCTGAACAAAGGTCGAAATCTTCTGCTCAAAGTTTCGGTTATACTCTTGAAGTTCTCCAGTATTAACCTGAAAATAAACAAATAGTGGTATATACAGTTTGTTTGAATCGTGTACGTGTGTGGATGTATGCAATACCTTTGCAGTTGGAGGCATTCCGCGAGCATGAATTATTCCAAGACGATTTGGCATCTCATCTTCGTAAGGATACTCTGAATGGTTATAGTAATCCAAGCTGTGGACGAATCGCAAATAAAACAGCAAGCGATCCAAAACACCGATTAGCTCCTCATCCCTGAAATACATCAATATAATCAATTAATTAATTACACACATATATAACTTTGTTAAAGTAAGCCAGTTTAGAATTTGATTTAATACATACATGTATTATGAATTAAAATTACAAATAAATAACAATGGTTAAAGTACCGCTCAATAGTGTTCAATCTATCATCTTTTCCTTCTCCGTCCAATTCCCCGTCACTGCTGGAACCCAAACCCAAAAGTTCCTCTTCTTCAGCTGAAGCTTCTTCAATCAAGTAGTCCGTAATATTTTTTAGCACTGGGTTAGTTGAGTAAACCCCGTAGATTTCCTTGTCATTTGCTTGCCGATCTTCGTCCCACAAGTTCCATTTGCTGTCGAGATGCTGTATAACTTTAGCCGCTAGGCGAATATCATTCCTCACGATCATCTTATGAGGAGTAATTCCGTTTACTGTACGAACACGCCGGCTCAGATCCCTGTTGACGATGGGACCAAGTTCTGTGTCTCGGAGGCGCATGTTGTTCAAATTCCAACAGATTTCTAAAACATAAAATGATAAAAGCATGCATAAGTCGTTTAGCCTTTTTTAAATGTAAAATGTAAATTATACATGCTCTGCGAATACAATTTAAACTCCAACCAATGAATAAACGAATAAAGTATAAGAGTAATTAGTATGTGATGGATAATTAAGTATACAGGAATTTTTAAAAGTAGGTATTTACCAACCTTTAATGTTGACGTTTCGTTTGAACGTAACCCAAGCACGTCGAAAGAATTTCTTGTCGGGCTGGGGATCAGCAATAGCTACTCGCATAAATCCAGGGTACTTTTTACACATTGCTTCTACCTCCAGCTTTGTAACCAAAGGGGATAGATTGCGCAAGAAAATTGATGCTGTGCGATGTAACTGAGGAAGTTCGTCCTCCTCTTTCTTTTTCATTTCTCCAGGAATAGGAAGGAGTCCCTGTTTTGCATTTTTCTTCTCCACAACAACATCTCCATTGCTGTCTTTCCCTTTGTTCTCGCCCCCATCCTGATCATTCTCGATTTCGGACCCACCAGATACAATTTCCGAGCCACCACTTTGAAGACGTTCCTTGGTTCGTTTTTTTGGAGGTCGATTTTCATCGTCAGAACCTGCTTCTTCCCCATTGGAGCCTACTTTATCTTCATCCTCATCTTTTGCTGCTAGATTGCTTGCATCATCTTCCACTTCAGGTTTCGATGTAGACCGCTTCCGTTTCTTAGTCTCGCCTTCCTCGTCGCTATTTTTATCGGCTGTTTCATTTTCGCTCATGGACGCTTCTCCACTACAATACAGTAAGGGACTTAAAATAGTAAATTTGTATAACATGGAGCTTAATACGCATAAGTAAATGGGTGTTAGTTGTCAGTCAGCGTCGTGGTACGTACGTACGAACAAAATGTAAACTTACTCGGAATCATCTTTATTATTTCCATTTTCCTTTGCCTTTTTTTCAACCGGAGGAATTACAGCTTCTTCCTCTTGTTTAACAGTTGAAATTCGCCTTGGTCTAGGTTCATCCGAGAGTAACTTTGCAGCATCTTCATCAGTTCCATCCTCCATACGAATAACAAACCAATCCATCAGTTTAATTAGCTTTTCAGAATTGGTAGAATCCAGCGAGGCACCTTCAAACCGTCCGCTTTCCAAGAATTCCATGAAAAGATTTGTTCGTTTCTGTGAATATAGATAAACCATATTAGTACTATTAGTTGATGGTCTTCACTGAAGACTCTTCAGTGTCAGGTTTCACTCTATCATCAAAGTTTATGCAAATATCTGATAGTATAAGAACTAACCTTCAAATTTTGATATTGTTCTTCCTTGCGTTTTGTGCTGTCCTCTGGATGGTACTTTAACTTGAACCTTGAAATTAAATTAAAAGCGAGACCAGAGTATTAGATATTGAAATCAACCAAACTTTAGTTGCACACAACAAGCTCTAATCATTCATTAGTGACATTGTGACATAGTGTAGTAAAATCGAGTTCCACTACTTGTATTACATTATATGTATTTGGTAGTAGAAAATGTGCTGTATATGAATCACGCATCATCAAAAATTATTATTATTATTACAATTATTAAATATTATTATTCTACATTAGCATTGCATATAATTCATTTCATTCTAGAGTCGCACTAGTAGTTCATCAATTTATCTTGAATTTGTGTTATTCAGCTTCGTTTAACTTTTGTAACCGTAAATACAATTTAATGTCAATGTAATGGAGCGATACATTCGAGTTGTATTATATTATTTTTCACTGTCCGAGAAGATGTCCACATTAGACTTCAAACAATGGATATTCAGAATAATTCAGACCGCACACATTGCAACAAACAAATACCATTTTCATCGGGGAAAGTATGGGGAGAAAAGCTTGATGAAATCGTTTTTTAGAGAAATAAAGTTGATTGATTGATTGTGATAAGCTATACAGATTAGTTTCTTACCTCGCTGTGTGATACATAAAGTCAGTGGGTGGGTTCAACAAAATGTCTGGGGCTTATAGTCCTTGCAATTTTAGTTTTTTATGATTATAATTTTGTGAAATATCACTTTAGTTGGATTAGATTCCTCATTTCGATATTAATCGCACAATTAAATTTTGATGGTTTTAATATGTTCTGATTTGCACAGATGTATATAATATATATTAATAATATTTTCTCCCACTTTAGCAAATAATTATATTTTCTGTTGTCTTCCCCGTTGATGCTGTTGTTGAAAACAGTTATTTAGAGACCATATTAAGAATTATGAGACCAATCATTAAACAATGAGAGCTATCATAGTCCACAGACTGGGCAATTCATAAATTGATATTGTCAGTTTTAGAGCCAAAAATGTAGTCAAATTCCTTACCATTCCTCTTCTCGGTGAGCAACGAAAAACTCGTTCAATTGCTGTCGTTTGAATTCTGCCTTGTAATCGTTGTATTTAGCCAAAGCGTCCTGGTCAGAAATGGAGTCATCCTGATTGGATAACCATGCCTTGAATGATAACGGTTGCGGATGACCATCACCCCCACCACCATCCCTGTAGTAGAATAAGCGCAACGTATAATTTATTTATCAATTGTATACAAAAATCTAGAAATAAACTTGGATATTGCTAATCTGTCTATAATCTGTATATTGCTTTCTATCAATTCTATCTACCTGTGTGAATGGGACGACGGTTGATAATGCTGCGGCGGATGGGCATCATAATTTGAGTAGCCTGAGGAATAGGCAGAATCTTGGCTGTATCGGTCCCAATCGCCACGAGGTCGTTTACTTGGAGGACTGAATTCATGTGGTTGAACCCGATGACCTAGTCGATAGTCCATTGGTCGTGGCGGGCCTCTACCTCGCCCCCAGTCCCTTGAAAACCAGACAAAGTTTGATAATGTTAAGACTTTATTTACTAATAATAAATTATTACGTACGTACAACATACGTAATATGCATAGATAATTTTTACCTGTCATTTCCCCAATCGTCCCTTCTTCCTCCTCTCATGTCGTCTTGTTGTGGTGGTCGCCTTCCACCCTCTGGCCCTCCGCGATATCCGTCGTTTCTTTCTCCACGAAATTTATCTCGTCGTTTACGATCGTAATCGTCATCAGAGTCACCCATATCCAACAAAACGGGATTAAATAATTATTGCGACGACGACAAATCAATAATTCGAGAGAGAAGCTGGATAAAAACTCCCGTCGTCTCTTCCTCAATCAAAAGAAGCAAAGGAGGGAGGACTCGCTCCACACTCTCGTCGGCGTTTTTTTTTTGTAGCTGCCGGTGGTGGTGGTGAAATGAGCTCAAAAAGAGTGGTCAGAATGCGGGTTCGTATGGCTGTGAAATCGTGATGGATTTGGGAAAGTGGCTGCAGCCAAAAAACTTGTAGACGAATGCGAAGCTGAGAAAGTTGATGCTATGCGTGTGTGATGTGTTAGTGGTGGAAATGGCTATTGGCTGCTGTTCAATGCAATGACCGAGGGTGACTCATCCACCAACATAACATCATCAGATCATCACCACTTCACTTTGAGTAAAAGTCAAAATACTTGATAAAAAAGCTCCATTCTTCTTCTCATTTCGGAAATTACTACGATTGGCTAATCGGATTATAAGACAAGTTGTTTTAATAGGATAAATTGGATCACATACACGGTGCACCCAGCTAGCCAGACAGGAACAGCAAAATAAAAAAGTCTTCCACGTAGACGAAACGGGAGGAAGGAAGGAAGCAGCAGGAAAAAAAGGTTAGCAATTTAGCCGGTTTTATGAAACAGCTTCAAAATTTCGAAATATTGGGTGGGGCGATTTTATCTACTTGTATTATTCCTTTGTGCTATTCTACTTCATATTATTAAACAAGTGCGACGGTTCATATTTCAAGCAGCAAAATTAAGTGTTCAATTTATGTTTCAAAAATTCGCTCGAAGGATATGTAAGCAATTGGGGTAGTTTCTGTTCATTTTTAGCCCGAACCAGGGCTTATGTAATCGTTGCCTGTGTTTCATGCTTTATTTGTTTGAATTACAAGTTTCACCAACAAAAAATACTGCTGCTTCTCATTACTATTCATATGAATGTTATTTCTCATATTCTGCTGATGGATTTGGTTTGTATAGTTTTTTTGTGCTATTAACATTGACAAATGCTTATTAAATATCATATTTTATGCGTAGACTTTTGCTTTTATTTGCATGTTTTTAACACTTTTGGTTGGGACCATGCAAAATTATTTTTTTTTTTACTATTCATTGCCTTGTTTGTGGTGCACTAAGGAAGAATGTAATAGTTTGCTGTGAAAAGTAAACTAATGACTCAACTGGTGTTTTCTGTGTGTTGTTTGTAGTTTTCTAATAGATTTCCTGTAATGGTCCGGCCTTTCTGTATTTCTCTCAAACCTTAACTCGCTGCTGCTGCCGCCCCCCACTCCTCACTTACGCATCTCTCCGTCTCCACCCACCACGCGACCACCACCGGAGTCAGTCTGCAAATCAACCATCTTCATCGAGCTTATATATACTTACTTCTTGTACTTAATTTGAAAATATAACTTGACGATGGCAAGCAATGAACCCAAATCCACTCCGGAGTATGGAAAACTCAAAAATTTTTGGGAAGCAAGTATGTATATTACATCATATATATTCAATCTAAATACCAACACATTTAATGAGCAAAGGCACCAAAGCTGAGAAAAAATAATTATTCATTATGCATCATTATTTTAATAGCCATAATGTCAAATGTGGTTATACATACATATAAAAGCAATGAGAGCATTGAGCAATGATGAATGACTACTTTTGAATAATCAAAGTGACGCATTCGTAATGTCCACAACTTCCGGCCTGGCTAATGCAGATAATGACGTTGAATCTATGAATGTATCTATATCTAACTTTAAAAGTGTGTCCAATCATATTAACACTAATACATATGCCATTCACGTTTGGGTGTAATTTATAAAACTAGAAACATCATTTTCTAGCTCGTTTTTGTGTGGGGGATCATCTAACTTGACTAGGTTAAGGTTAAAGTGCTATAGTTTTTTATTAGTTTTGGCAACCCACTTGCACATTATGTTTTTTTCAGCTTGTCAGTAAACATTAATCTTTGCACACATTCTATCTACTAGAGACGTTTGTATCCTATTACTATTGCCAAGTTTTTAAAGAACGGGTGGGTGGAAGAAGCTGCTCGAATTGGAGTATGCATGTTGTGGAATAGCGTAAACTTTTAGAGTTGATAATTATAGAATTCTACATATAGGATTTATTTGATTGAAATGTATACCCATTTGATTATTTTGTAGGAACTGATAACACTATAAGCACTTCTCAGAACAGTACAGCTGTAAAATTAATCAAATCATCTCCTCCTCCAGCCTCCTACAACAACGGATCGTCGACAAATAATTCTGTCACAAAGAAACCTGAAACCAACGGGAACGGTTTTCATCATAATCCAACGACAACAATCGACATGGCAAACCAGGGTATGATGTTATAAACATTTGGCTACAACTTTTAATTTATTTTTAACAATAATAAATGATTCATTATGTTTCCTAATACTATAGATTTGACTCCGAGTGTTATTGAATTCGACCAAGATGTTCTTGACGGCTGTCTCTCAGAGTATCTGAAAGTAGCTCAAGGGCTTGGTGGTGAAATCGCGGAACATGCTGCCCTTGTCCAAAAAGCCTTCATGTAATGCTCATTCAAAATTCTGTAAACAAAAGGTTTAGCTTCTTATTTGACTTAAATTATTCGACAGGGCTCAGCGAGATTTCTTAGTCACGGCTACCCGTTTTGCGAAACCTGGAGACGCCCAATTCCAACAATTGCTTGGACCGACTGCTAATGCAATTACAGAAATTCAAAAATTTCGTGAATCGCGGAGATCAAGTCCTGTATTCAATCATTTGTCCGGAATTTCTGAAAGTATTCCTGCATTGGCTTGGGTTACAATTGTAAAGTTCTATTTTAATGTTAACTTCATGTTGTATTGGTAGTTTATTTAATTCTTTGCGTACTATTTTTATTAGGCTCCAACTCCTGGTCCTCATATCAAAGAAATGAATGACGCTGGACAATTTTATACAAATCGTGTACTCAAAGACTTTAAAGAAAAGTAAGTGTTATCCAATCAAGAGTCATTTTAGTGAATGACGTAAAGTTGACATTAATTCTCCTGTAATTCAGGCCAGGACATGCTGAATGGGCGAAATCGTGGATTGGAACATTAGTTGCATTGCAGGCTTACGTCAAGAAAAATCACACAACTGGACTTGTATGGGGAAAGCAAGCAATGGCTGGAGGTCCTACAGGTGGTCCACAGCCACCCCCACCACCTCCTGCATTCGAAATGCCGGATTTGTCATCAATGACAGTTTCAGATGAGCGGGCTAATTTGTTTGCCGAATTAAACAAGGGTGAAGATGTCACCAAAGGACTGAAGAAAGTATCTGCAGAAATGCAGACTCATAAAAATCCAAGTCTTCGTGCAAGTGCAGTTGTACCTGCTACTGGATCATCATCTGTCAACGGGTCATCCGGACCTAAAGCTCCCGTCTCGAAACCTCCAAAATTCGCCTTGGAAGGCAAGAAGTGGGTTGTGGAATACCAAGTGGGAAAACGAGACCTCAAAATCGAAGATGTTGAAATGAATCAAGTCATTTATCTATTTGCTTGCAAAGACTCGACCATCACAGTTAAAGGGAAATTGAACTCAATCGTCGTCGACTCTTGCGTAAAGTCGGCCATCGTGTTTGATTCACTTGTTGCCTCTGTGGAGGTTAGTCTGAGATTTTTGTAACAGACTGCCACCGTAATTGAAGAATAATTATCATTCCTGGAGTCACTTGTTTACTACTCAACTCAATTTGATAATTTTGTTTACAATTCTGCAAATTTCAGTGGCAGTTATATCAGAACTTGTTTAATGAACTAATAATCTTATGTTTCTATTCTATCATATATACAGTTTGTCAACTGTAGAGATTGTCAAATGCAGGTTAATACAATAATATTTATTCTCTCATCAGAGTTAAACTCTCATGTATTCACTTAGTATTCTACTGACGATGTATTCTAACTAGGTCATGGGAGCTGTACCAACAATAACAATTGACAAAGTGGATGGTCTTCAAATGTTTCTGAGCAAGGAGTCGATGCACGTGGAAATTGTGTCGGTAAGTGTTAAATGCTGTGCAAAAATTATAATTTTTTTGATTTGATATTTTTTCGTCGTATCATACAATTCTAACTGTTATTTATTTAATTAAAATTTTCTCACGGTCCAGCATGATCCTGTATAATACTGACACGATAAAAGAATTAAAGTAGGAATCAAGTTGATCGTGATTTTATAGATTTTTTTTCTAATTTCATAGGCCAAATCATCCGCTCTGAACGTAATGGTTCCAAAACAAGATGGAGATTTTGTAAGTTGGCATTGCATTACTAAAAATGGGGTCATATTTATCCAAGGATAATATTTGTATTTCTAATCATTTTCAGGCCGAATACCCTGTTCCTGAACAATTCAAGACAACTGTGCATGCCAAGGGGCTGACTACAGTGCCGACTGAGATGGTGGGAGTGTAAAATAATTAAATTTCACATTTACGTACACTGTTTTTTCAATTGCCAAAATGTAATTAAGTATACTCAAGTCTGGATTACTTACTGCATGCTCTAGATTTAATTTTTAATCGAAATTTGAGATTGATTGGAAAGACATGACCACAAACATTTTAATATAACCAAGAAGTTATTATTAGATCAGGCTTCTAATAATTTATGTATAAATGCTTGTTTTCTTGCCTGGTCCCCCGGTGCGTACTTTTACATACTACTTTTGTCGTACATATACAGTGTATTTTATTCACGTTTAGCTTTATTCACCAAACAATAGGTAGATAATTACTCACTAAAAAAACAGCATTATTAGTTTAATAATTTCTTGTAGAAACATGTATAACTTATTGTCCAGTGTTGTTGCATATTGTATCAAACTAATAAAACTGGCTATTTTGCCGTGTCCAGTATGTGACCAAATAAATAAATAACGCAAAACTGTGGAACTAAATGCAAATATTTGTGATATTTAATTTTCCAAATTGTAGCAAATTGCATAATTTTTACAAAGGGAGAGGATATTATTAAGCATTAAGGGGTGTGAAGTGATTCAAAACTAATTAATAATTGATACGTGGAAGGTGAACGTGACGATTCCTTACACTGGACAGATGTCATCAGTCTACATTCATGTCTTCAGGTTTCTGCAAAAAATATATACAAATTTTGTGCATGAATAATAATTCGTCTTGGCTGTATACAATAATACTACTATATGTAATGCAAGTGTAATGAACGCACTTCAACAGGAGGTTCTTGGGTTTTATTATCCGCTTCTTTTTGAATCTGGAAAATAATTTTTAAAAATTAGCACGAGCTTTCAAGAAAATAATAATTAATTTGTTTTTTACCGCGGTTAGAAAGGCTTCAAGGTTTCCAGATTGAGCTAAATGAATGAAGTGGAAATGTAATGTTTTGTAACTTAGTTATTTTTTAGTACTACTTACCAGCTTGAATTGCATCTTTCCCAAACTGGAACTGCTCCACCAAGGGTCCTAATTGACCGGAGGGAAAGGCTGAACAAAACGAGCTCAAAGCATGTTGGAACGCTGGACTGATAAGCGTATCCACGACATTTTTAGAATCGGACTCTTGGTCTTTGGCAGAATCAACAACCTCGGAGAATCCAAACTTTGGAAGCAACGGGGTTAATTTTTGGACAGTTGTTGGACATGAGGTTATCCGTTTCACAAAGTCACTGCTCACGCCAGCTGCAAGATCAACTGCAACAAAATTTATCACTCGTTTTAACATTACATGTGTATCACCATTTACTTATATGACTTGGCTCGATTAATGATAGTAATATAAATATCTACATACCTGAAGCAGGCAATTGCTGCATGCCACTAAGAATCTTTTGCAGTTGATGAAGCTGAACTGGGGGTTTGGAAGAACTAGATGCTCCTGATTTTGAGGACGCAGATGAGGTGTCCTCTTTTTTGCTGCTTGTGGTCGTGGATGGTGCAGTGGGTGCAGTTGAGTTGCTTGTAACAGTGGAACCAGCACTACCCCCACCGCTAGACCGACTTTCTCCACCGGGAGCAGAAGATCCTCCCAATTGTCCCAACCCCATTTGCGAAAGCAGACTTGACGCTCCTTCCAAATCATTCATACCTGCAAAAATTTCAAAGAGATTAGATTTGACTGCAAGTAGATTAGCACAACTAAACAAAGCGATATACTACCCCCCAGAAGTTGCATGAGCTGACTTTGCGACATGCTTTGTAGCAAAGTGTGCATCTCTTGTTCAGATGTCGTTGCCGATGAACTATTTGTCCCTCCAGCACGGCTACTACCTGATCCACCAGGATTGTTAATGGCGTCATTTACTTTCCAAACAAGGTCCGTATCGACGTCAACCTTAGGCTCTTGCATCCAGTAGAAAAGTTTCCTTGAAGAATTCTTAAACTAGAATTTTAAAAAATGGTGAAACAAATATTTACAATGTAAAAAAATGTATTCTTAATTCGCATTCGACCATACCTTGAGGAGAAATACTCTTGAATCTTCCTTGCATTGAGTCACTTTGGAGAAGCTGTCAACAGAGAAGTCATGATAAGTCTTCGAGCTACAGAGTAGCATTTCTTCATTCAACAAACATAAATGGGATCACTAAACTATCGAAATATCATGGTCTGAACTCTGAATTGAATCTCCCCTCTAAATCAAAATGAGTTTCAGTGATAATTCTAAGGATTTTCCTAGTGGGTCATAACTTCATTTACTACACCCGAAAAACAACACTTGGTTCCCAAGCCAAGTCCATTAAGAATAAGCGAGAAGAAGGTAACGAAATAAAATTAGGCATCTCCCTCTTAAAAAACTCGAGCCTTCCTCTAAGTTGTCGTTGTGCTCGGAGAAATGTTAACTAACTCCCTTGTTTTAATCAGTTGAAATAAAATGTGGGATGCTTATGATTCATATACTGCGAAATATGTTAAATAACCCAGGTTTTTCTAATAAATAATTCAATTGTCAATCCCTATAATTTCTCAAATAATTTTTGTTCACCTCGCATCCTCTGGAAAGATGATTAAATCCTAGAAACATACATTAGCATTAATAAATATTAAACGAAAGGAGACCCATTTATAAAAAGACTTTATGCTTACGTCTTCCACGACGCCCGAAGTTCTATCTTTCCAACAAAAATGGGTAAGCCCATCTTCAGATTGATAGACATAGACTTGACCTTTCCTCTTGTCTGGAAACACCATGCTTCCTACATACAGCAAATATAAATTGCAATTACAACTTTAAACCTTTAGTAATACGAAATATATCTTTTATATAAGAAATAAGACTCACCCTTCAAAGTCATTTTCCCTGCTCGAAATTCAACCACATTTTTGGCCTGGTTTGAAGCGCGACTCCTCCCACCGAATAAATTGTTCAACGCCATTTTTCAACCTCTTTGACTTTACACTAGAGTAGACCGCTTGCACTTTTTCCCAGTTATTAATTATCCCTACCCAAAGTTGAAGAAAGCCCAAAAGAACTATTAGCCTAATTCCGTTGCTGTATATGTCTCAAATATAGAATTTTAGGTAACTAGGGGTTGGGGGTGGGTTGTACAAATTCGCAAAATTCGCAAAATTGATAAAGTGAATAAAGCCGTCTGAGAGGAGAATGACACTAGCGAAGAAAACTTGAAAACCTCCGCTCTCGGCTGCGCTCGATGCTAAACCAGTCTCACAACGCCTCCTTTCACCTGCTTTCTCCAAACCCAACTATTAAGAAATTAAGAAACTATGTACTAAATTGACGGAATTGTTTCCGGTCTGATGGGCTCTTATTGTTATCACTTTACGCAACGAGTGCAAAGTTGAAGTTCATTTGCATAGCTTTACCTCTCCTTCTTTTCCCACCTTGAAAATTCCGTACATCAATTGAAAGTTTATTGTTGCAGAACCATTTCTATATATGATTGATTAGTTATTACGCGCATCCATGCAACCTCTCATCAAGCAGTGGTTCTTCCTTAGACATTTTTAGTAGATTTCAAGTAATTGTTTCCTCGTGTTATTTATTATTGGTTGTGAAACAGATAGTCCGGACCGGCTGGACTGCCTGAGAGTGAAAGCACATACTCATTCTGATTTTTGGCTGTGCAACCATAGCTCAATACGTAAGGCAGCATGCGACATGGCTGGCTGAGAGGGAGAGACAACAATCTGGTTTCGAGCGGATAGGAGAGCATGCACAATAATAAATAAAATAATGGTAAGAAAGAACCCGGGCGACGGGCTTTCGCCCGGCCGACCGACAACTCCTCTGGCTGCTTTGGACACTGACGCATCGTCAGTTTGGTCGGTCGTTGTTTCCATCCTTGCTCCTCGGCATTTAGCTGAAGAAGAAGTCAGGGAAAGCATGGAGTGCATGGGGGAGGGCGATAGAAAGTTGCTATCGTGTATCCTATTTTCCCTGCAGCGATATTGCTTTCACTTCCTTCCTCCTCGCTCTCCTTTTCCAACTCAACTTTTCCAACCACCCCACCATGAGTCACAACATTACATCACAACCTTCCCAGCAGACATTGCTACATAGTCGCCTATGTGACTGACGAGGACTGCGAGTTGTAAGCGAACCTTGCGAAGAGAAAATACAAAATCAAGTTCGTGTTTTGATGTTTTGATACATACATCGCATCACAAGAAGGAGCGGAGAAGTAGCAATGTGTATGTTTACTTGGTGTCATTGTCGTGGGAAGGTCTCGTCAACTACGGGTTGCAATAATAGCGAGTGGAAATGAGCTTTTGCTATTTATGATTATGTTTCATTTCAATTAAGCCTTCTCGTTTTGACTCTCTTGCACAGATATGTGCGAGGTTGGATAGTAGAGTTATTTGAAGAGGGGAGTAGGTCCAGTTAATCAAGAGATACTGTGTTGTAAGGACAAATTGGTGGACACCTGTCTTTGTTTCCATTAGGAAAGGACTGCATGATGAAGATTCCATATCGACGAATTGCCATCTATGCACTAATGCTATTTCTGCTAGATAAAAGAATTCTTAATTAAATTGACTGGGCTACTATGTAGATATTAAATTCCATGAAACATTGAAACTCATTCACGGTAGGAAAAATCTATATTCTTCCAAGTGAGGATATTTTAAAGGGTCAGCTACAAACAGATATTTTAAAATGTCATGAAAGATGTATATGCATATGTTTATATTATTATTTATATTACTGATGCAATTGGATTAAGAAGCCAAACAATGAAAACCAATGTGGCAAGATGTTGAAACCTTTCACTTCATATGTAGAACGTCAATAGCTTATTCACATCATCGTCGCTTATTAGCTTTACTGGGAAAAAGGTGAATAATGGAGAAACACAAAATCAGAAGAGCGAATGGTGGTAAATCGCAACCTGATGATGAAAGTCGAGGGAAATAAAGGAAAATCTCTCAACGTTGATGCCACGACTAAATATGTGATAGACAAGAAGCAATGGCGAGGAGAGAAGCAAATTGTTCAAGCCGAAGTAACTCCCAGCCACCATTTCCCCGAATTCCGCAGAAACTAGTAATCAGAGTCGTCGTCGTCAAGAGCAGGTTCTATTTTGCTTTCATCTCAAATTTCTGAGTACAAGAGCTACCAACAGCGTGCAACCTTCTGTCTCGTACACCTTACGTATGAATTACAACCAAATAACCATTCCATACCAACCATGAAATATCATGCAATATTATCGCTACCTTACTATGTGCGGGTCATGATACGTACACACCGAAAAGGAGCTTAAGGCAACCATCCAACCATTCGCTGATTCCTAATTCTGCTTTCACTTTGATTACAACCAGCGGAACAAATATCTTTTCTCTTCTGTCTCGACAAACAAAGAAATGAGAACTGAATTGAGATGATGATGATTCTCAGGTATTCTCATTAAAATCTCCTCCTCCTCCTCTACTCCCTTGCGTTTATGTGCACTGCATTTTATTAATTTGAAGACTGATTTGAATGTGCTCGAATTTATGTGCACGAGAGTTGAATAAGTAAATGTGGATATATATGCATACATTGTTGACCATCTCTTCAGACATGTGTCTTTGTTATGTACAAAAAAGAAAGGTATTTTTCTGTGAGCATAACATTGATAAAATTTGCAAATTATAGTAATTTGAAGATGTGTGCTTCTATTTGCGAAAATTCCCTGACATACATTACGGACATCGACTTATAGCAAAACCTGTGACGTTTCCTTATTCTGTGAGCTAGCTGGGTTGCAACTAAAAAGTGCTGAAATACATTCGAGTCAGTCTATGTACACTAGTGTACATGCATAAAACTACAGTGACTGTCACTATATTTTGGTGGTTTTCAACTTTCTCCAGTCACAGTCCGAAATAGCAATTTCCTCACTCCTGCGACTGGCTGACTGGAGCAGACACACAGACAGACAAGTTTGAGCAACAGAGTAAGGAGCTCACAATTTATGAAAAGAAGGAAAGTTTGTTTTCTCCAATGTGGATACGAAGCATGGAGGATTCACTCAACTTTGAACCTTTCTTGACAAGACTCTATTTTGTTTGTAAGGTCCTGCGTCGGTAATTATATATACCATTAACTAATGCAAGGATGACCGATGTTCGGGCACATGCGGTACAATGGGTACACGTACATACGTATCAACTAGAAATCGCCAAATATTATTATAATGTAAATAATTTCACTCACACTTTGTGACTGTTCTATAGTACGCAACTCGATACTACTAATTAGAATGTGTGCATAAATATTCCACATGTCATACCAGTAATCTAATCCAATAAACGTACTCGGAATATCTTAATTGCCTGACGTATGCATTTGCTTATACCTCAAAACCAGACTGTAAATCTTGCTCGCACCTTTCCCATCTCGTAATCTCAGGTTGCCAGCTAACTCTTCAGACTTTCAACTGAATAGATGGGGACAAACAAAAAATACGAGTGAACATTTTTGTTCAATGTAAAAAAAATCTGGAATTGTTTAAGTTGTTCCAAGTGGCTGTAATACCAGCACTATCTTTAACAAATTATCTTAGTAATTATGCTTACCAAAAAATTCAATTGCATTTTTTTAAATTTGGTTACCATTTAGTTTTATACAGAAAAAAGTCATGTTATATGTGTTGGTCCCCTGTAGCAAGCGATGTGGAGTTTTCAATGCTTCCAAGTGTGCTGGCACCTTGGTCGCACCGCTTATGGACCGGTGCGAGCAAGATTTATTCTCTGGATGGCTCACACTAATTCCGCATGCAATATGTGGAGTGAAATGGAGTCTGACTACTGGGGTCGGTCGTCGGTGGGGAACCCCCTTCAATTTCTTATCTCTGTAACATTTGTACATTTTGAGTTGACTCAGTCTTGTTCCTTTTACGCCGTTCGTTTTAACTTTGCTGTTGGTTGGTAATAATAATGCTACGATATACGGACTACGGACCAGCATAGCAGCATGAAATGAAACGAGGCACAGGCAGCATGACAGTACTACGCAATGTGATATGGCAATGCAGTGTTTGAGTTTGTTCTTTCTTTCTTTACCAGGCATCTGGTGGTGTTAGTCATCGGCACATAAAACATTCAGTGAGAAAATGAGAAGTGACTGTTTCATATAATACGCTGCATGCTACATACCAACTTTTTTACAACAACTCTGCTAGCTCAACAAGCCCTCCTCGATTCAATAAATGCATCCAATTCAGAGAAGAAAGAGACTTGGGCAGCAAAGCAAACCCACCGAAAACACGTTATTACGTTATACACTTGACTCTGCGTAGTACTTGTCGTAAATATGTATATGCTCACCCTTTACTAATAACAAGTGGATGCATTCCTTCTTCATAAAACCAGACCTTGCTTCTTTTTCGAGTTCTTTGCCTTTTGCTGGGTTAAGAAGAAATATGGAATAGGTTTTATTATACTTTTGCTATTGGGCTGGTTTTGGTGCGATTATACTGATTCAATCCATTTCACGCATTGTATATGTTCCTTTCTGCTGCTGCAGCAGTTGACTTTGACGTCGACACTTATTGCTTGCTTTCATTCTGTTCCATTGCCAACTCGCACATATTATTATAGTCCACAGCATAGCATAGCATTTAGCAAACATTGAATGTAGTTCTTCTCCCACCATTTCTAATGGCATTATTGGCAAAGGTATATATGTATATGCTCACAGCTTAACAGAGCAGCGAACGTGGAGCAAAAAATTCTATTCTTTTTACGAGAACTCACTCACTCACTCTTTGCTCTTTAGTTATCTTTGTCGAAAGTATGTGAGTGAGTATGGATGGGAGGGATGATGATGATGATGGGCTTGTTGGTCTGGTCGGTGGATTTTGGGATATCCCTATCATCATCATCACATCATTCATGATACCGTGTATTGCAGTGCATTTCGCCATTGGGAGAATATTTGCTCATTACAATTACAACTTCTCCTCTATGCTCCTCGTCATCCTCTTACATATTCTTCAGCGTCATTTGCACTCAACTCCACTACTCGTACAATCATCCAACATTCATGGTTACTTGCTTTGCTAAAAGTGAGAGAGAACGCAAAACCGATTTAAATTCATTCGTCACGATTTTGAATCTATCGGATGTGCAGTGTTGGTAAACTTTACGGAAACTGCTACCAAACCAAGCACAGGCTCAGAGGAAGGTACCTTGGAAGTGGTCTGATGTCATTTTTACATCTGACCAAGTAACTGCAACTCTTCAACGACGCGACGGTTAGAGATGGATGGAGGATTATACTCGCTAGCTAAAGGCTGCAAAGAAGAATGTGAGTAAAAGCAAAGTGAATGAGAGAGTTGCCTCGTTCTGGCTGGTGCGGAGTTGGTAAAGAGAGAAGGAAAGGCGACAAGCTGACGGCAGACGAAAGACACGGCCAGAGCAGTGTGGTCGGGAACCTCTCTCTCTCTCCAATTTAAGAAGAACAAGAAATGACCCTGTTTTCGCACTAGTTTGTCCACAATTACTAAAAATTATTGTCCTCGTGTCCTTCCCAGGGTCAGCAGTGACAAGGTGCATCAAGAAAGTGATCTAGGCACGTCTGTGGACAAGACTTTTAACAGTGTGGTGAAGGATCAATTGCCGAGCGAGTGTAAACATCTCTAGATAAACAGCGTTTCCGGTCGGCAACATTTTTCAATTTTAAGAATCAAATCAATCGTCCTCCTGCGGCTGCCCCAAATAAGAAATTGTGCATACACACTAGTTTTGTACAATAGGAATAACACGTCAAATCGGTGTCTGAGCTAGGACTGGAACATATAAATACATAAATAAGGAAATTGAGTAAAAGTGAGCGAGTTGCAGTTCCCGTGTTGTTGTTGTGCTTCTCGGCGATTTTATTTGTAAATACAAACTAAAACTTTTTAACAAAAGTATAGTAGTTTGTATTTCTCTTCTGTCTGTGTTTCTTATCATGACATTCATGGTGCTGTAATTACTACTAATTACTCTTATGGTTCATTAGTGGACAACTGTAACAACATTTTAAATACAAAGTAACAATGGGGTTATCAAAAAATGACTCATGAAACTCGAATGCATTTCTCAGTTGATGTACACGGAGTACGATAAGGATGACTTTTACTATCCATGAGTATAGAATCAATTATGCTTGGTACAATTAAATGGATTAAGACTTCAAGCCGTGTTTCATTAACTAAAATTTTGCGCAGGATTCGAATGGAATAACAGTGTTTGTTTTTTTGGCAAAGTATTCCCATAATTACAGAAATATGAAGCGCAGAACGAAAGGTAAGTTGGACACAATATCTTTAGTAAATTTATCTTTTTCATGCATCACCTGTATGCATATTTAAACTCGCTCAAATTATTGGGCACTGGCATGTTCTAGCATGGTTCGAAATTATCCTATTTAAAAAGCACATAGTGCATAAACGATATGCACTACATAATGAATTTTAAACAGGTATCAGGGATAACATTTTTTTTATTTTATTGACCCAAGCTTTCGACAACAAACGCTGTCTTCTTCAGGCAGGGAGCAATATTGAAATTGATATCAAATTACAAGTGGTCAAGAAAAAGAAAGATATGCACTACATTTAGATATGACTCACAACAATTTAACATGCCGAACAGAGTAATACTAATATTCCACCACTAATCGCAAGCTAGTCCACCAATCCTAAATACATATTACGCCTGCATACAAAAAATATTATTTCATTGATCGCAATAAAGAAAAAACTGATTGATACAGATATCGCACCTGTCTAGTACGTAAGATGTAAGAGTTCCTATAGATAGCATGGCATATATGTAGCATAGCACAATCTGTTGCAACATTTGCAGAAACAGATGTGATACGAGTTAAATAAAATGTTGCTCATTTTCTTTTGCACACCTTGAAACCTATTACATGAAGGATTGCTCATCTTTAAACAATCCCAAAAAGCCGCAGGACAGCAGTCAAATAACGCCAACACTGTTTTTCACCCGTCTGCTAAACAGATTCTGACTCGTTCGTTCGTTCGTTCTGATACCAAAATTGTTTGGATAATTGCAAATTTATATAATGCATAATAGTACAGAGCTAAAAGACTTGTTGTATATTATTATTATTACATTGTTTTGGATTAACGGTGGACGAAAATGATGATGACAAATGTTAGCATTGAACTTGTTAACCTCTACATATTAGTACGTACACATGAATAACGAACGGCAACGATACCTTGCCTAGGCTTCAGGGTCATTACATAAAGTTTGACACTATTTTGTAATAAATAATATTTTGAACAATCCTATCATCTCCTTAAAGAAGATAGGCTTTATGAACGACACGGTAGGAGAACTGAAATGACCAACCAATTACAGGAAAAAATTCGGAGGAAGGAAGTAAATGCAAATGTTGATTGTATCGAATTAGAAATTAATTTTTCCATTGTCAGCAGCTCAAACATTACCATTTCGTTAATTCCAAAGAGAGTTAGTAGGAACATATATGTAGGCTGAGATGACAGTTGGATGTGATGATGACGATTTCCAAGAAAATTTATTCTCGGAATCGCATTATTATTCATTCCAAGAATATTTTGAAATCATTTGAATCTCAATTCATTCGTCTGTATTCGTTTCCGAAACCTTTCAAGTCTGAAATTTTTAACATGCATTTGTAGCAATATAATAAAAAAGTGAGTACAATATAATCGAAAGATTTGGTAAAAAATAAATGACAAATATATATGTACCACTAGTATGCTAATAAATCCTGCTTCGGGCCAAGCAAAGCTGTACTGAGAGGTTTTAAATACATATAATAATGTAATCCCATATCTGTAATCGTCATATTTATATAATTAATAACAACTAAATATTGGGTTACACTAGTCACTAGTAGTGCAGTTAAAAATAATCACCCATAAAATCTCCCAACTCAAAATGGTCTCCGTTTTTTAAAAATTTCATATGATTCTTTAAGTACATTGAATAAACATAAATTCCAACTTGGTTCGCCTCTTTCAACAACTCGCAAATGATGAGCAATGATTCAACAAAACTTGTTTTTAGAATATTGTGAATTCTAGCTTTTTATGTGCATCTCTCATCATCCAAATGAACTTGGATACACGAACGAAGGAAGGACGATTAGAACATACATAGTTATGTCTTATGTTTGGTTGCCGCGTCACTTACAAAATTTCATTTCGTGGTGAATGGACAAGCCAAATAGTTTATTAATTTTAAAATGACACTGATCTCTCTTCTGTCAATTTTTATGTGTTGTATGTAGTTCTTCCTACTTTTCAACCTGCGTTGATGTGAATTACGTGTACATATGTATAATTTACCGTAGGATGAGGACTGAGGGCGATGATAATGGCAACAATGTGCATGAATCTGATACTTGCAATGTGAAATGCAGATCAAGAATGGCATTTGCGAAATATATATAAAATAATGCTTCTCTGTTGCATTTGACCTACACATTGGCAATCACAAACGAAGTGCACTTTGTGATGTAGGTTAAATTTATTGTTCATTCGACTTGACATTGGATCTCGGTGTTATGTGCGTTTCGTTTCTTGTCTTTGCAACAAATCTCATTTAACAAAGGGGATATCGCGTCGTGATGTAGTTTTTACTTGGTTAATGGACGAAAAGAAACAACTTTGTCGATCAAAAAGGTGTGTCAAGGATTATTCTCGTGATTTAATTTCTGAATCTTCAGGCATCAGACGTTCATTCACTGATCTGACATGAAACTAAAGAACCATATTATCAAATCAATCGATGTATGCACTTAATATTGAGCTAGTTGTGTATAGTGTAGAGACGTTCGGCAGAAGAAAAGTCAGGCATGCATTGTTTGTTTTTGTAGTTAATGAGTTATTGTGATTTACTTAATGATCTATCAAGTTTGCGGAATGTCTCATTCTACAAAATATAGTCATTCATACATGTATGTCTTATTAACAAATGTGGAAAACGGCTTGCGAAAATCACCGTCACTTAATAATCTTGCCGTCAATTGTATATTTTATTTAATACGATTTTATTTAGGATGACTCATAAGTTATATAAACAATGCTGCTTGTCTTGAACAACTATAATTATTATTATTATATTAGTAGTGTCCATATTTTCCTTTTGGTTATTTTAGCTCCCACTTTTAATCCCCACTTGAAGAACCGTACATGTTTGGGATTGTTTGCTCTACTCAAATGAATGATTAACATATTACTATTATATCATAATGAATATAACGAGAAGACGCATTGGACAATAAAGTTTCTGCGTACTTGCTAAAATGACAGGAATTAAGTAGAATTGACATAAATGTTGACGTGTCAAGAATTCTGTCTGTGCAGAATTGTTCAGTGTATTCGAAACTTGCAACTAATGTATTCATTTATACATATAAACGCTTCGGTGTGAATGGGAAAATACGTTAAAGCTTCAACACTTTAAACGTATAGATGACTTCCATCCCTCCCATCACCTCTTTACTAATGCAGTTTAAGCGCTAATTCGTTTCTTTGCAAATGTTGCCGTGTGTGGGAATCGTCTTGGGAAAATCTTGCATTTGGATCAGTTCACAGCGAGGCTGATTATCTCTGGCTACCGTTGTTGTTCACTTATTTACTGGTCATGTGAACTCACTTTTTATGGCTTCTTCTTTGGGGGGTTAAAATCCGAGTGAAATAAAAGGAAGGATTTATTTACATAAAATCTGTAATCAATTTGTGACACTTGTGTGTGGTTTTAGCAAATATTTTCAGAGTACATTTAGTGTTGCAGCAACCATTTATCAAGTTGGTGCTAAGACGGATAGGAATTTGTATTCTTTACGCCATTGGTTGTTGAAGGAGTGGAAAAAGGATGAGTCAAAAGTCAAGATTATATTATTGCAGCTCTCTCGCAGCATCATATTAGCTTGTTGACGATGTGATACAGAATACAAATTATATGTACGTGTACAATTTGATGCAAAATTCTAATTCGTATTTGGACTGGATATTTAAGAATCACTTGACTTTGGCATATTTGGTTGACTCGCCTTGCCTTTGGCGATACATTTAAAATACTTATTAACCGAGTGCATGGCATGCCGCTTATATGTATCACTCAGGAGGCAGTAGTACAAGAACATCTTGGCATATCCATTCCATTATTTGTTATGCATCGCTGTTCTTCTGAAATGACTGCCTAAGCATATTCAAAAGCACAAGTTGTAATCGAAGAAGATGCGTTGCATTTATATATACTCACTCACACTGTTTATAGTGTATCGCCATCAACAGCTCAATGGTTGATGGGAAGTATACTGTACTTTAAGTACATATATGCATAGCTGGCTTCCAAAAATGACTGAACACACCGAGTTTGCTCATCATGCACTCTGCAGACATGTAATCTTCTTAAAAGTCAGTGTTGCAGAGATATATGTATCCACTATATGCCGTCTAAATAAAAGTGTATATAAACTAGAACTTGTTTGGCTGGAGTTAATAACAAAGTATACGTAGAGGAGGGAATCCCCTTTAGGAATGTCAATGAAAAACTTTACTCTTCTTCAACCAGCAACTATGAAGATGATGATCATCATCATCTTCATCAGGCAGAGCATGGAGGAGGAAGTGTAAAGAAATGGAATAAGGAGAACAAAGGTGGTGTAAGGCGCACTGTGTATAATTTGTGTATGCACCTCTGTATTTGTGCCCGTCTCTTATCTACCAGTCGCCATTATATTTGGAAAGAGATCTCTGAAGGAGGATGACGAGAGGAGTTGAAGAAGAAAAGGGATATCCCAAATTCATCCTCGTTGCCTTCTTGCTTGCCTTCTTTTTTCTGAGCGAGCAGTGAGTAGTGAGCCCACTTATACTTTTACCTTTCAGCAAGCAGGCAACTTGTTTTGAACATCTTATCCTCTTCTATGGTACTCATCTCTTAATCCTTTTTCCCATATGCAATGTTATGGTCTTATAAAATTCAACAACATGCAGAAGGTTAGTCAAGGCTGGGTTAGGTTAACATTTTAGTTCAGCTTAACTCTATTCATTCTTCGCCTAAAAAACTCCTCTGTACGCCACACATCTATCTCTTGTGTGATGTCATTCTCTTTAAATTGCTGTCTATGTACGTATGTACACTACACTATGCCGCAAGGCTGAACAATTTAATATATGATTTATACGCGTAGTGATGATGAGTCTTGTGTTAGGCCGTTAGCAGTCGGTCTATGAAATCAGAGTGGGGACTGACTAGTTGGTTGAATGAAGTAGAGGCTA